GGTACAGGGTACAGGGTACAGGGTACAGGGTACAGGGTACAGGGTACGCACATACATTCGGACATCGAAAAAACGCTAGATTCGTGTTCCCTGGCCCCAAAAACACCCAGAAAACACATTTTTTATGGGTGTTAATTTTTCGACCGATTCCAATACTTTACCTTACACACTAGGTGTGTGCGGAAAAGTAACATCATTTAAACAAATAATAACTTCTATGCATGTCCGAACGCATAGATTGACCAGAATTGGCGAAAAATCATGCAAAATACCCACGATGATCATCATGTTTTGCACGCAACGGACTATCCCAATTTACTGGAATTACTACGAAATGCGTTTGCAGATTTGGAAAAAGTTCAAAAGGGTTTAAACACATATTTGGAGAAAAAGCGAATATTTTTTGCACGATTCTTTTTTCTATCGAACGATGAAATTCTTGAAATACTCTCCGAAACAAAAGATCCAAAACGAGTGCAACCACATTTACGTAAATGTTTTGAGGGCGTAAGTTGAAAAGTTTCTAGCCATATTTCCTTTTTGAATATTTCATAGTTTATCATCATTTATTGTAGATACATTCGCTGGAGTTCGACCAAAATAATGAAATCACAGCACTAGTATCGGCCGAAAAGGAAGTCATGACACTAAACAAGAAAATAAATCCAAATGCAGCTAACGTAAGTTAAATATACTGCTAACACAGAGTTCAAAATTCGAACTACAGTCCATAATTCAATTTATATTTTATTCGATTAAGATTGTAACTGTAAAACAGTAAATTGCGTCTGTATAAATTTCAAATTACTCAATTTGATTTGAGTAACATATGAATGAAAATTGTTTCTGAATGCTATAGGGTTTGGTTGAAAAGTGGTTGAAGGAGGTGCATAATATAATGTTGGAGAGTGTGTTAACACAAATGAAAGGCGCTTATGACAGTTATTGGAGCTACGAAAAACGAAATGAATGGACAACCAAATGGTGTGGCCAATTCGTTCAATGTGTATCACGGTCGACATGGACCAAAGAGGTATCAAATATTTATTTTTTTGGTAATTATATATTTTTGCACACATTCCATACAAATATTTGGTTTTGATATTTATTTACGGTGAGAAAATTAGAATTCATCGTCTGCACTACAAATTATTTTATATGACGTAGAGGTAACCTTTCTTTTACTACTTGGTTCAATATTTGTATAGACGGAGGATGCCATTAGCAGTAATGCTCTAATTAAATATGCAACAAAATATAACGAATACATTGCTGATAATATAGAATTGATTTGTGAAAGTTTATCACCTGGGGCGCTGATAAATCTCGAATCCTTGCTAATTTTAGATATACAAGGTAAATGTGCAGATTGACAAAAAAATCACTTCCTCCGACGACAAATTTATGAGTTTGAGCTAGTGATCTTTGTGTAAACATGAAAATAATGTGTGGTTGATACTATATTATAAGACTAGCACTTTAACGACATTCGAAATTCCATTGAAACCACTGTAAAGCTCCCATATCCATAACAAAAACCAAACAAGATGTTATATTTCACTTTGGTTTATAATTTCCTTCCCCGAGAGTCGAGAATTCAATTCAGAAAATAATAACATGATTTATTAGCTTGATGGGAAATATTAGGAGTCGGATGGCTTTTTGAACACATTGGTCATGAATATTTAACGAAATGTGATTTTCGATTTATGCGAACTTGGAAAATAGCTCTCGATTCATTTTCACTCTTACCCCTCTTCTCTTTGTCTCTTTGTGTGCGTGTGCATAATGCTGTTTTTCCGGTTGAACATCAAGCTCGTGATATTCTCAACAGTTTGATTGATGCTGCTGTCGTAGATGTCGATAATTTTAATTGGATTTCACAGTTGCGGTACTATTGGCGATATGATGATATTGGTATGCGCTGCACATGAATTCATCCAACTCCATTAGCAAATAGACTGACTCGATTCAATCCTAATAATGAAATATTCGTATCTTTCATATTACAGACAAATCCGACATCGTTTCCGTATGCATGCTGTGGTCGGATATTCGATATGGCATGGAATATTTGGGCAACACATCGCGTCTAATTGTTACCCCACAGACTGATAGATGTTTTAGGTAATTTTGACCATTTGAAATATAACAGCGAATATTCAACTCAAGTTAAATTAATTTTTTTTTTCGTGGTTATCATTTACACACAATAGAAGTGTGATGGAAGCAACACGAATGGGCGTGAGTTCGATGGCATTGGGTTCAACGGGAACGGGAAAAACAGACACGTTGAAGGATTTAACAAAAGCCGTTGGCAAAAAGTGTGTCGTATTTAATTGCAGTCCCACATTAAACTATGATGTGATGGGGAAATTCTTTAAAGTATGACTTAAAATGCATATGAATATATTATGAACCAGTTAGTTTACTCACGACCATTGCACAAAATGCTTTTGTTCAGATTTTGCAACAAATACGTTTGCAAAGATTTTGAATTGCAAATAGCTTTGGTAGTTTTAGTTGTCCATAATCGCACCAATTTACTACTTCCTGCGGTAAATGTGCTCAATTCAAGCGTGCTGGGAAAAAACCATCCGATCATTTTTCGTTTTTTCTTCTTCTCTTTCTTACTTGTTCAAAGGGATTGATTCAAACTGGTGCCTGGGTCATTTTTTACGATTTTAATTGCATTAAACCGAACGTTCTTTCCGTCGTTGCTCAGCAAATGCTAACGATTCAAAGCGCAAAAGCACAGAATGCCATTAAAATTTTATTCCAAGAGACGACACTAAAATTGGATGCATCATGCGGCGTTTTTGTTACCATAAATCCGGATTATTCAGGTAATATTGATGTTAGAGAAAGTGTAGCGAGATAAAATTAAAACACGAAGACATCGGAATAAAAAAACGACAACAATACCATCCCAATTCTTTTTATAAATTAACTTAGCAAGAGTGTGAGATGGAAGTAAAATTTTACTATAAATAGAGGGGAAAAAACTTTCTTTTGACAGAGTTTTATCTTTTGTCTCACTTTTTTCTTCTGTTGTTTGTAGTTCGACACAAGCTTCCGGATAATTTGAAATTGCAATTTCGATCGTTTGCTATGCTACCATTGGATTCAGTTTACATCTTTCAAGTGATATTGTTTGCAAATGCTTTCAAAGAATCCAAACAGTTGGCTCGAAAACTAGTTCAACTACACAAACTCTGTGCGCTCCAACTTTCACATGCACTACATTATGATTTTGGAATACGAACAACAAAGTCCATTGTTAGTTTGGCAAAAAGTTTGAAGCGGCAACGCCAACAAAGCGACACCTTGTCAGAAACTCAAGTGATTTTGAAAGCGATTTGCGAAGTTAATTTAGCGAAATTGATACCAGAAGATACGATACAGTTCAAAGAGATTTGTGCACAAATATTTCCAGACGGTAATGTTTGTAACGAAGCGGATATAGCGACACCGATCGAATCTTTTGTCAGCGAATGTCTGAAGAAACATGATTTTGAACCTACCAAATATTTGATGGAGAAAATTCTTCAAATTTATCGAATGCTTTCGATTAAAAATGGAATAATTATTGTTGGTGATACGATGAGTGGTAAAACGGTTGCATGGCAAGCATTGGCCGAAGCATTACATAATATCAAATCGAGTCCTGATGCGTTAATCAATGAACATGACGTTGTTTATCGGATTATAAATCCGAAATCAATTTCAGCAAATCAACTTTATGGATATTTCGATTTGGAATGGCATCAAGGTGTAGTGGAAAAGGTATTTCGTGAAATGGTCTGTGTAACTGAAGCAAAATCTAGAGGTTGGATTATTTTTGATGGTATTGTCGATCCATCGTGGACCAAATGTATGCACACATTACTCGATAAGAATCGTAAATTTTGCTTGGCATCGGGTGAAATGATTGAAAAGCCAGAACTAATGACAATTTTATTCGAAGCGGATGATTTACAATATGCGTCACCGGCAACAGTAGCCCGTTGCGGTGTCGTGTATATCGATCAATCAAAAGAACAATGGAAGAGTTTACATTCATCTTTTGTTCGTGCACTTTACCGTATCGGTTTGATTGATATTTACATTACACTTTTCGAAACACTTGTTGATTGGCTTGTTCCAGCCACTTTGCAAATTCTCAACGATTGCAAATCCATGCTGAAAGTATCATCCACTCAACAATATAAAGTATGATTCAATTTATTTCATTTCATTTGGATTTTATTTATGATTCAATAAGACTTTTTTTCAACTCTGCAGATTTTCAGTCAGTTTTTACAATACTTTGTTGTAGACAATCAACAACAACTGAATCAAATCTGGTTTCAACAAATATTTTTATATTGCTTGGCGTGGGCTTATGGATCGACACTTCAAAGTAAACTATTTTACAACGAGTATAATAATATATATAAGAGCGAAATATTCTTTTATGTCAAAAAATTCATTGTAATGCGTTTTTTTCTCCCTATGTAAAAAAAGACGAGGAGCGAACAAAACTGGACCATCGTTTGCGTAAAGTACTTCATGGATCAGTGGATGAGTATCCAAAGCCAAAACTTTTTACATTGAATCGTGGTCAAATGTTTCCTGAAAAAATGCTTATGACCGACTATCGTTTTGACCACATTGAAGCATGTTGGTGGCCTTGGTTGAAAGAGTCAGAGGATGTTACATTTAACGAAAGCACTCACATTTCCACAGCATTGGTGCCGACGAAAGAATCAAATGTAGCCTTGTATTGGTTAAATTTAGCTGTTAAAATGTCACTTCCACTTGTTCTCATTGGTGATGCAGCCACTGGAAAAAGTCTTACACTCCGTCATTTCCTCAACGAAATGCCAAAAGAGAAATTTATACATAGTGTGTTGAATTTAGCAGCCAATACAAAACCACAAAATGTACAGGATATTATTATGGGAAAGTTGGATCGGCGACGCAAGGGCGTTTTTGGCCCCCCTGTTGGCAAATTGGCATGTTAAATTTTCACAAACATAACACATTGATTTGATGTTTACATATATGTTTTTATCTTAAATTTTATTTAGGGCATTGTTTGCGCTGACAATTTAACAATACCAACATGCGATGAATATGGATCGCAACCTTCTATTGAACTTTTGCGACAGTGGATTGACCATAAATATTGGGCTGATTTGGATGATTCTTCAAAACTCGAACTTGTAGATTTAGTAAGTAAAACCACGAAGTGTCACCATTGCACTGTTTTTCGATATACCTTTCTAATGTCCCCTTTAACATTAACTAGTTTCTTATCGGAGCCATGAATCCAATTGGTGGAAGAAATCAAACGTTCTCTAGATTCTATAGACATACATTTTTACTGGCATTTGATGCTTACGAAATGTCAACTGTAAATAGAATATTCACAACCATATCAGAATGGCATTTTTCACAGGGTTTCTCGGATAAAGTAACATTGCTAGCTAAAGTGAATATTTCTTATGATATATATCCATTTTAATTTTGAAAAAAAAAATGAAAACATTTCCGCTTTTCAGACTGTTGCATCTGCAATTTGTGGGTTTTACGAACAAGTGAAAAGGGTTCTCTTGCCAACACCACAAAAATTCTACTATATGTTTTCATTTCGTGACATATCTCGAATTTTCGAAAGCATAGCCCTAGTGCCGGCAAAGAAATTAACATCGCCTGAAAAGCTCATGAGACTGTGGGCCCATGAAACATACCGTGTTTATTTTGACAGGTACATTTCTATCGCAAATTTTTGCATTTTGAATATAGCATATCTCTATTTATATGACATATAGGGTATCCGATCCAATAGATCAACAATTCCTGCTTGACACGCTGACTAGTTGTTCCAAAAAATATTTCAAACTAGACTTGAGCCGAGCATTTGTGAAACGAATCCCAATGGGAGCTTATGTAAACAATGAAATTTTGCGAAATTTAGTATTTGGCAATTTTATGGAACCGGACGCTGAACACAAAACATACGATGAAATTGAAGATTGGACCAAATTGGAAAAAATCATCAATTATTATTTAAATGAATATAATACTTCGGCCCTGATTCCGTTAAATTTGACTTTGTTCAAGTATGCGATTGAACACATTGTAAGAGTATCTCGTGCACTTCAAATGCCTCAAGGCCATTTGATTGCCGTTGGTAATGATGGTTCCGAAAACATGAAAATGATTAAATTGGCCGCAAGCATGGCCGGAGCAAATTTGATCAATTTTAATTTTCATAAAAGATATTCGATGAAGGTTTGTAAATTCGTTCGTTTCAATCGTTGGTTGCCTTGGCACTAAACAAAGATTTTTATATTATTTATATAACGATGCTAAATCTGATTATGGGCACGAATGCAAATAAAGGAGTGGCGGGATGACATGAAAAATATGCTAATGACAGCTGGTTTGAATGCACAGTGTACTATATTTCTGTATCCTGATCCCAATGTTAAACATTCTGCGGAATTTATGAGCGACATTGTAACAATCATGGATAACTTCGAGCTGCCGAATCTATTTCAGTCTGATGATAAAACGAAGATAATGGATGCAATGCAATTAGAGTCAAAGAAGTCGGTTCGTATTTTTAATATTTAAAATGTTTTTCTTATTTGAAATTTAATGGAAAAAATGGAAATGGTTTTCTTAGGAGCAAGTCATTGACACAACACCAGGAGCGCTATATAAATTATTTGTTGAGCGAATTCGGCAAAGCTTGCATATTGCCTTGGTACTTCCTTCAATAGGCGACAGATTCCGTGAATATCTTCATTGCTATCCGGTAAATAATATTGTTGCATTGCTTGTTTTACTTGTTTTGTAATGATTTTTTAATATTTTTTTTTAATAGTCTCTTCCGAACTATTGCACCATTGATCGATTTTTACCGTGGCCGATAGACTCTTTGCAGCAAATCGCAGAAAAGTTCATTGGTACCATGGATTTATCACACCCAAAGCTGAGTAAAAAATCATCCACAGACAGTGATACGTGTGATAAACCACAAACTGTCGATGTGAATCTAAAAACAGATAAACTATCAACGTTTGAAATGAATTTGGTAAATACAATGGTTTATTTTAACCAAACCATTGTTGAGGAAAGCGAGCGACTATTCAAAGAATTTTCTCGTCGAATCTATATCACTCCGGCATCATTTTTGGAAATGTTAAATTTATTCAAAGAGTTGTACAAACGCAAACATTTCGAAATCACTCTGAAACGAGAGCGATACACGACAGGTTTAGAAAAATTGGATAGTGCAGCTGCACAAGTTGGTGATATGCAACAGAAACTATTTGATTTGCAACCGAAATTGAAACAATTGTCAGACGAAACCGAACAAATAATGGTGACGATTGAAAGAGACACGGCACATGCCGAAAAGAAAAAAGAGGTTGTGGGCGCAGATGAAGCTGCGGCGAATGAAGCAGCTGCAGCAGCGCAGGTACGCTATAGTGTCATGGGAACGATTCAAATGCAACAAAGAAGTTATAGTATAATAATGAAATTTGAATAATATTTGGAATATTTAATAATTCTGGTGTGACTACTACCAATTATATTGAGTTAGCGACTCGGTTAATTGCAGAAATGTGGGGAGAAGTCGAAAAGTCGAACATCGTATTATTAATCTTTTTTTGATTTGTCTATACATCATACATTGCATTGTTCGAAATGGTCCGCAAGCATCAAGAATTGATTGTATACAAAATATACAATATTTTGCATACCGTTCAAAACAAAGTCCATTTCAAATGACAGAGCTTCTATTCGAAGCCGAACTTCTGCGATGAATATCAAGATAAAAACATTTTCATCGACTAATCACTGTCAATGTCACACTTTTTCTCGAATGTCATTTTATTTTCACGTCCGAAAATATTTTTTTTTGTACATAATTGTAAGTAATATGTGTGTGTGTTTGTTTGTTTATGTGAAAATTATTGCCGAGGACGACTGTCGAACTTTCCTGGTGTTCGAATTTTCTCACCATTTTTTTAATTTTCGACTTTGAGCGGAGTGGTAACGCTGAAACTTTTCAAAACTTTTCAAAGTGAATTGTAGCCGAATGATCAAACTTTCAGATGTAAAAGTTAGTTTTAAAAAATGTCCTGACAGGACAAAATCTGTTCGACTTTGCCTTAATTTGCAGTTTATTTATATAATTATATTATATATGTATGTATATCACAACACAGGCAATCAAAGACGATTGTGATAGTGATTTGCAAGAAGCTATACCAGCGTTCAATTCGGCTCTTGCAGCACTGAACACTCTTAAGCCTCCTGACATAACCATTGTTAAATCGATGAAAAATCCACCATCAGCAGTGAAATTGGTGCTTGAAGCCGTTTGTGTGATTCGAGGCATTAAACCTGATCGCAAATCAGAACCGAGTAACATTCTTTTGTCCATGTGACATTTTCAAAGAGGATCAAAACTAATTGCAAATTTTTCAGGCGGTAAAATAACGGAAGATTACTGGAGTGCCTCATTAAAAATGCTGAGTGATTTGAAATTTTTGGAAAATTTAAAAACCTTCGACAAAGACAACATTCCTGTGGCAACAATGAAACGCATACGTGAAAAGTAATAGATTTACATTCTAATTTAAATCACAATTTAATTAATTTTACCATTTAGATATATATCCGATCGTGATTTTAATCCAGACAAAGTGAAGAACGTTTCAACAGCTTGCGAAGGTCTTTGTAAATGGATTCGTGCAATGGACATCTATGACAGAGTAGCAAAAATAGTTGCACCAAAGACTGCTGTGAGTTTTGGAATATTATTGTTCCAAAATCAAATAAACGTCTAAAAATTATCTCATATTCAACAGGCATTGGCTGTGGCCGAATTGGAATTGGCGGAACAAATGGAAAAATTGAACTCAAAACGGACGGAACTGCAAGTGATACTTGATAAACTGCGCGGTTTGAATGATTTCTTTGCAGAAAAATCGAGACAGAAAAAGAATTTAGAAGATGAAATTGATAACTGTGAAAAGAAATTGGATCGGTATACGATATATTTAAAATGATATTAAAAAAAAATCAAGTGCACACAAACTCTCGTTATATATTTTCAGAGCGGAAACATTGCTCGGCGGACTAAGTGTGGAAAAAGTTCGGTGGTCTGAGATAGCAAGTGTTCTTCGTATTGCATTGGATAGCGTTATTGGTGATGTGATTTTATCGAGTGCATTTATTGCATACTTGGGAAGTTTTCCGAAGCAATATCGTGATGACCTCTTGAAAAGTTGGATTCAAAAATGTTTGGAAAATGAAATTCCATGCAGCAAGGATTTCAAGTTGCATTCAACTTTAAGTGACTCAAGTGAAATTCGTTTTTGGACAACATCCGAATTACCCATCGATGATTATGCTGTTGAAAGTGCAATTATTGTCAAAAATGCACATCGTTATCCACTCATAATCGACCCACAAGGTATATATGAATGATTGAAATGTTCCTTTTGGTTATTACGAAGTTATGTCTAATATCCCCGAAATATATGCTTCGTAGCTCAAGCAAACAATTGGCTGAGGAATATAGAGAAAGCAAATGGATTACGTGTGGTTCAATATACCGACGAAAATTACATGCACATTTTAGGCGAATCAATAACAAAGGGAACACCAATTCTCATGGAACATATACGTAAGAGCTACAATTTTTTACTTGTGTGAAAAGTAAATTTCACTTGAATTGAATAAAAAAGTAATAAATTTCTCTCTCTTTTTTACAGATGAATCAATTGATACGCCATTATATCAAATTCTCGAGCGAAATATACTGCCGCAAAAATCGGGCAAAATGTCCATGTTGTGTTCGAATAATCTGATTGAATGCGATGGCAATTTTCGATTGTATGTCACAACGTGTTTGCCGAATCCGCATTATTTGCCTGAAATCATATCGAAAATCACTTTGATCGATTTTACGCTAACCGAAGAAGGACTACAGCAAAAAATTCTCAACACAATTATTTCTGAAGAACGTATTGAATTGCAGGAGCGAAAAGAATCACATGTCATTGAAATGGCAAAGAATGGCGATTTATTGTATAAACTTGAATCAAATATACTGGAGGTGTTGTCACAGTCAGAAGGGAATATTTTGGAAGATGAAAATGCCATTAATATCCTCACGACAAGTAAAACTATGTCAGAGGAAATTCAAGCAAAACAAATAACTGCCGTTTCAATTGCGAAAGAAATCGATGCAGAGCGTGAGAAATATTCTGTAGCTGCTACACATACATCAATTTTATACCGTTGTGTCATGCGCTTGGCATCGATCAATTACATGTATCAATATTCGTTAAATTGGTTTGTCAGCATGTTCGTACAGAATGTACGAGAAACACCGAAACAACATCAAACGCTTTCACAACGTCTGAGAGAAATCAACAACAATTTCACGAAACGATTCTATCAAAAAACAGCTGAGACACTGTACAAAAAACATCGATTGGCTTTTGCATTTTTGATTTGCATTGAAATGTTACGAACGCAAGGCATAATCCAAGAGGATGAATTGAAATTTCTACTGACAAACGAATACGCAAAAAAACCATACCGTCAACAGCACGATGCTGTGCTTCCATTCGATTGGATGAGTGTAGAGTCAAAACAACTTATCAGCCATGTTGTAACACAGTTGACAAGGTATCGAGGGAAATATATTCTATATCTATTCGTACATATGGTTGCAATTTTCTTTACAAAGGAATATTTTCTTATTTACAGCCTGTCACAACTCTGCGAATACATCACAAATGATGAAACAAACTGGAAAACATTTTATACATCAACAAATCCGATTGACATAACGGCGATACCAGAGCCGTATGTATGCGCCAATCAGCTTATAAAGCTCGTTATACTGAAGTTACTTCGACCCGATGCACTTCATTTCGCTATTGAAAGATTTGTTTGTTCTTTTGATGAAACATTCGAATGCAATGATGCACACATCAATGTAAAATCAGCTTTCGAATGCAGCACTCCAAAGACACCTCTCATCTGTTTCACGTCAAATGGAATCGATCCAACTGCTCACATTCTTAATCTGGCTTATGAAATCAATACCAGCGAAAAGTGAGTTTTATGATATACTTTGCATGAGGTTTTTTTTCTTCGAAAATTGTTTCAATTGAGATTCACATTTTTGTGTAAATTTTATGTTAAATTACAGTTGTAAAACTATTTCGATGGGACAAAATCAAAATGCGATCGCTGAGAAAATGTTATGTGATGCAATGGCACATGGTGGATGGATTATATTCGAAAATTGCCATGTAGCAACAGCTGACTGGATGATAAAATTGGAAAGTCTCTATACAAACCTAATCAAATCAAATGAAATTAGCAAGGATTTTCGATGCTGGTTTGTTTTAAATCCAACCAAAATGTTTCCATTTATATTGCTGCGAGACGCAATAAAAATTGTTATCGAACGACCTTCAAATTTCCGTGGAAAATTTATTGAACAATATTCAACGCAGCCACTAAGCACCGATAAATTCTTCAATAATGCATTTCGACCGCCATTGTCATCCGTTTGGCATCGATTTGTTTTTGCATTTAATGTATTTCATGCCATTGCCCTGGAACGCATGGAATATGGAGCTATTGGATGGTCTCAATCATATGATTTTTCCGATAGCATGCGAAAACTTTCACTATTTCAACTTCGAAGTTTCATAAAACAATGTGGATCGATACCGTATGAAAACTTTTTCTATTTGGTGAACGATTGCAACTATGGTAATGAAATCATTGACAATTGTGATCGACGATTGTTGAAAAACTTGCTTAAACAATTTTGTAATGAAACGACAACCACAAATGATCAGTACACATTTTTCGATTCTGCAACTTTGTGCATTCCACTCGAGGCAAATCGTGAACAAAGTATTGAATATGTAAAAAGTTTGCCATTAAAAATTGCGCCATACGAAATTGGACTACATAATAATGTGAATTATTTGCGAAATGTGGATGAAGGCAAACATGTAAGTTGAAATTGAGTTTATGCTTGTTGACAGAGTTTATTTGTACATCATTTTGGTTTCTAACTTTGTCTTTTGCATTTATAGCTCTTACAAACTGTATATGCAACACAAATTGACCATTTTTCAATTTCATCGAAGAGCAATGATTTGGATACCGATCAAACTGTTAAATATATTTGCGATGATATTCTCAAACGTTTACATGTGATTGGTGAGCTAAAAGCACCGCCACCAAACAAAAATCCATTCAGTATTATATTAAAACGAGAGGTCCAAAGATTTAATGAATTGCTTCAGTTAATTAGGCAATCGTTGAATGATTTGAAGAGAGGTATCAATGGTTTTGCGATTGCTGATAAACACTTCAATAATACATTGTTCGAAGTTTCAAACAATGTAGTGCCTTCAATATGGATGAAGAAAACATACTTGACAATCAAACCACTATCCAGTTATATCAATGATCTTTTGAAACGGATAGAATTTTTCCAAGGATGGTCTCGCTTAGGAACACCAAATCGTTTTTGGTTTTCTGCATTTTATTTTCCACAGTCGTTAGTCGTCACAATTAAACAGTGTTTTGCCAAACACTCTAGCATCGACTTCGATGATGTGGATATTTCGATTGATGTGCTTCCATTTGAAATGAGTGAAAGTGATGATGAATTTGAGGCATACATGAAGGTTTGACTCAAAAAATTTAATCTATTCATGAACACAAAAAAACAAGGAAATCATAAAATTCATATAATTTTACTTCATTTCAGGATGTTAAAAGCAAAAACAAAAATACCATCGCAATTTATGTAAGAACATTTGAATAAACTGTATCTTTTTCTATGTGTAAAAATTCAAAAAAATTAAATTGAAATATTGGATTTACTGCAGGGACTTTTCATGGAAGGTGCACGATGGAATCGAGATTCGCACCATATTGATGAAGAATTAGATGGACAGTTATATGATTGCATGCCACTTATATTGCTGCAGCCAAAAACACGAGATGAACTGCTAGAACGGTTTATGTATGAAGCACCAGTTTATAAAACATCACAACGTCGAAGTATTTCCACGAAATATGGACATTCAAACAATTTTGTGACTTATTTCGCGCTACAGAGTCAAAAGCAAGCCGCACATTGGTGTGTTCGAGGTGTTGCATTGTTGTGTCAACTCAACGATTAAATGAATCACAAAACCATTATAATTGCTAAATGTGTATGTGATGTGGAAAGGCCACGCCTAAAATCATGTTTCACAGCAAACACATATTAACGGAATGCGTTGTTTTTTATATTTTCTATGCACAGGTGAAGAAATATTATCTTATTATCTTATCTTTAGTGAAGAGTCATACATATTACTAAAAAATATATACATCATTCTTTGTTTTTGATTGCGTTATCGTTTAAACGTAAAGATAGCGAAGCCCCATCAGCCTAAACTGATTCATTCGATTCGAGTTATTACAGTGTTTAACACTTGTTACGGATATAGAATTAAATATTGGAGGAAAAATATTTATTTCTCATTTCAAGACTTGAATCAAATAATTTTCCGAAAATTTTCCAATATTTCAACAAGTAAAAACAGGGTTCAATCAATTACTAGTATATCACTAGTATAAAAAACAAACGTGCTAGAAAAAAGTTAAAATAATCAAATAAAAAGTAAAATCAGGTCAATCGGAACTGAATTCAAAAATGTATTCAATGAAACGTGGATGCATTTATTTAACTATACTCATCGGTATGTAAAAATTAACACAAATACTATAATGATTTTGGAGAATTTGGTTGAAATCAATTATTATTTAAATAAAATTCAAAGTGAAATACGCCAAGTATAGTCAATTTATTTTTCGAATCCACCAGCGTTATACGTTTCAGTTGGTTTTCACTATGTATGTATGCAATGTTGCAATCGAAAAGAGTAATTTAAAACTTTAATTGATACACTTGACGTGATGAAATCGGTTTGCGGATTATCCAATTCTGATATATGTGATTTATTTTTTGGCATAAAATAAAAATTAGTGCATAATATACAATGATGCCAAGCTCTACCATAGTAAATTTTATTTCTAATGTGTGTGTAAATATATTTCGAATTGAATATTGTTGTGTTACAAAATTTACTGCAATTATACACAAACCCTAATTCAGCAAGCGAATAATTCATCTATATATGATCTAGTAAATATAAAAAAGATCTATCTAGTTATTTAATGAGCACATTTTGTGTTTTCAGTTATGCATTTTCAAAAAAAAATCTAGTAAAATAATGAGCACGATGCCAATTTTTGGATGTGTGATTGCAATAGTATTTGGATCAAAACTAAATAATGATGTCGTCAGAATGGTGTCCCAAAAAACGTGTATAATTAATGATTTTGAGGTGTGGAATGAAGAAATAGAGCGCTATGCATGCATATGTATAAAATCAACGCAAAAATTTCTGTTCGCACAAATAAATGGACAAAAAAGAGAGCTCAGCATGCTGGCTGACGGAAATGTTCACAAAAACTATCGATTAGAGATACAAAAACCAACACGTTCCACTTAAAACATTGAAACGAGAAACGATGACTGAAAAGTACTATTTGTTATGTGTGTGTGCGAATGAGTCATAAAAAAATCTACGATCGAGAAAAAACATAGACAGATACGTTGTTTGTACGGAATGAAGTTTTCAAACAGTGACGAAATAATCACATTCCATTAAAACTTTTCGCTTGTCATCTAATTTTGGTGCTTGAGCACTATATTTAGAATGGCATATGGAATGTGTATGGAAAAACGAATGAAAAATTGTGCACATGATGAAACTTTTTTGATAGTGCTTCTCTTTCACTCATTTACAGTGAGTCGCTCACTCTCTTCATCGTCCGCCGTAGTCTGTTTACGTAAACTATCGATCTTTATATTGAAGATATCATAACTGCTCAGTCAGTGCTTTTGTTTCTCTGTTTCTTCAATCCCTCTGTTCACAATACTCCGAACAATCGATTTAGAACCAAAGAACATCAAGGATGAGGCAAAAATCTTGAACGGAAAACCGGAAATAGTGTACAAATGTTTTGTTTGTTGATTAGTTTCTCGGTTTTGCAGTGCACTCGAGATATCGTTGTTGTGCTCAAATGTTGTGGCCCACTTTATTGTGACTATTCTTCTCACGCTTTTGTTCGTACTACTCTTCTTCCTGCCGACATAACAATCATCACATAAACCATGATTCGACATTTGGTGATGTGAATACTGTGTCTTATTTTGCCTGAAAATCATTCGCACACCGACAAGTCCACTTTATAGTAGGGTGAAAAGGCTGGAATCAAAACTTTTAATGCAGTTTTTGGTTGACATCACATACATTTTTTTTAAAAAGGAAGATGAATGAGAAAATTAATGTGAAGCAGCAAAAAGTAAAAACTATCGTCATTTTCACATAGACATTACGTCAATGACATACGATGAAAAGTCTCAGGTGAAACGAAATCAATAAACATCACAATTTATAAAAATAAACTCTATAAAATGCAAAACTGTAATTTCAAAAAGTATTTTCACTATTTGGCGACAACTTAGTGTAGATTACACTGAATTTCGTCTTGACACTAGCAGTGTGACAGTTTTTCTCAAATTATACTGATAATAATGCGAATGATTACGATTACAAAAATTATCTGTAGATTTATTCCAATAAATAGCAAAAATATATTATTAGTAATAAATTCTATTTAATCCAATCTATAAATTTTGTGCAAAATCGAAAATATTAAATGCACATTTGATTCGATTTGAAAACCAATTTCTTACGTTACGTTTCTATATGTATGGCATTTTTGTATTGAAATTACAAAACAAAATTGTCGAATGTATTCGTTTTTATTGCAAAGAGTTTAATTCAACTTTTTTTATTATTTTTATACAATTTATTTACCAATTTTCGATTTTATGAATCGAAGAAGAAGAAAAAACAGAAAGTTTGCTTGAAAAGCACTTTCCTATGCAAAACATGGTGCATTTGTGGATCTCTTTAGCGTCTCGTTCTGTATTTTTTTCGCTTTATTTTTCTATCAATATTTATTATTTATATTTCTACTAGTTTTTTCTGTCGTTTTTTCTTTCGATTTGTCAACTTTCTAAATGCGTATGCATGGCTTTTCCCAGCTGCAATAGTGCATTTTTCATATGACAGAAGCACGATACACAGGGATTAAATACTTGAAAGCATTGAAAATAAATGAAATATAAAAGTGGAAACATAGAAAGAAAGATGAAATGTGCATTTATATCATGAGCATAAAATAAGTGGGTTTATAATATACACAAAGCATACATCAAAGCATATATATTACTTTCTCCATTCTTGCCAGTTTATGTTTCTAAGAAACATGTCGGTCGAGCTGCTTTGGCTCTATCGCATGAAATTCATATACAGTTTTGTTTTCGTTTTTTTTTTTTTTTTTTTTTGTTGTTGCCATGAGTAATAATGCTTATAAGAAAGCTTAGAAAGAAGAAGGAATATAAATGCAAAGAAGAAGAGGACGAAGAAAAATAAACGACCCAAGGAAAAAAGAAAATAAATAATTAACTGGCGAGAATAAAAAGTAGAACCAAAATATCCAAAGCGATACTACCGTGAATACTTGAATCGATTGCAATGAATTCATAATTATATTTGTCTAGTTGTACTGTTTCGTTTTGGGAAACAAGGAAATTCGTATTAAGTTTTTCACATTAACAAAGATAAATAATGATGGATTCGCGTGCACCCATAGATACGTACGTTTTAGTTAATACATCCAATTTCATTTGCGAATGAAAAATTATAGTTTTGCCTTTAGATGGGTTCGAATTGCAGCATTTTTTGCGCTGTTTATTCCTTAATCGGAGATTTACAAATAAAGAAAATGAAAAACAAAACAAAGCAAGCAAACGGTTCATAAGTAAATGAGTGTTTTATATCAAAGGAGAGAAAGCTTAAAACTTTTCAGACAAATGAATGAACTTAAATAAACTTTTAATTTTTATTGAAACAGCTCAATTGTAATCGTTACCAATGCGACGACAATTTATCTCAGAAAATGAGGCAGAAAAAATGAAAGAAAGAGAAAGCGATGGAGAAAATGGAAGCTTTAGTAAAAAGTATCTAACTGTGCTGTGCAAATGGATTATTTTCCATTGTTTATCGTTGGAAAAATTAAAATTTACGAAAGAAATTCTGAAGCGGAAAACAACGATGATCGAGTTTCACGCGAACAAGAAAGGCAAAAAAATATATACGTATATAAAGAAGTCTGTAAAATGCAATTTTACTAAGTGCATGCTGATGATAATAATAACAACAGCATGCCATAAACATTGTCTTTGTTTTTCAAGCCATTGCACGGTGCAGTATTGGATTTAATTTTAAACGACAAAAAAAAATGCAGATCTGCATAAGTAAAAATGATTAAAATTGAACCTTACGGCATATAATCCTTTGAAGTGCGCTAACAGTTGGTTGGCATCAACATCATTTCTTTTTTTGATTTTAAAAATTTTGTAATTTGCATTGCTTTTTTTGTTTATTTTTCGTCTTTCAATTAATTTTTCAGTGGTTTTGAGTGTAAGTTTCCAAGAAGTGGACGGCAGACGTTTGGTTTTAAGAGGTCGAAGAACAATAACTCGCCACTATTACAGTAAGTTCTGAGTATTTTAATGAAGAGAATATTTTGATTGTGATGGAAGAAATTTGTGTATTATATCATTTTTTTAAAAATCGTTCATTGTGCAGCCCCTCCAATAATACCAGCTTGGTTGATGATTGTTTTCATCGCTCTGGCAGAGATTTTATTCGGTATAATTCTTTTCTTTGTACTACGAAGAATGGTCTTGACTAAATCCGATGAAACAATGAACACCTACCGACCGGCTCCTCTTGAAGACATCTCTAACAATTAGTTTTTTGTTTTGTTTTGTATTTTCATTAAAATGGAATTCTTTGCAATTTTATAATTAAAAAGTCCACGGGATATACATTTTCCAGTTTTTATATTTAGCAAATCATTAATATATATAAAGCTTTATGTAAAAGATTAAGACTTAAATATGTTTGAAGTCATCTGGGATGTTCCAAAATATATCATCATCATGGTGTTCATCCTTCTTCAGGTTGCGCATCGCCGGCAAGTTTAATACAACCCCAGTCAAAGCACCAAAAATCAAAGCAATTAATATTGTACTAATAATACCAAGGGCCTGATATCCAGCCTGTTCCATATTTGTTCTTCCAAATCCCTGCAATAAAAAAATACACCAAATATTTCTCGATTTATTTTGACGTGCATAAAATTATAATGTAAACATCTTTTTGGATTTGAATAAATAGTAATGAATATAAAAAAATGATTGTTTACTCCAACAGTTATTGTTGTGTTGTGTTCAAGGGCGTACGATGAATTTTTCCAATTCATTGCTGGAAAGATGTCATTTAGTGAATCTTTGTAGATATCAGTTGTGGCGACCGAAGCATAAAACATGGAAAAAATAGCAGATAAAATTGCGGGTAGTCCGTGCAAATTATTTACACCGCAAGTATCGTGTAGCCTAAACTGAGACACCAAGAACGGCTGCAAACGACCATGAAATGAAAAAATAACAATCACCAAAATCAAAAAATAAAATACACCAAGTTTAAATTTACAAACAAGCAAAAACACATAAAACACTTGAGCATTTGATATCAGATATGAATGCCAAAACGTAACGAAAAAAATTGCATGAAAATGAATCGTTCGTGTTTTTGGTTGATTGATTTTTATACGTCAATGCCGATGTAAATTGTTAATTTGGAAAATGCGAAATGATTTGAATGTGCGCGCGCTGTGGAAGGGAAAATCATACAAAGTTTGGAATGAAAGAAAACACACAAACACATATAAGCACCGTATTTATTACGGTGGGAAAGGAGCAATGCCTAAGTAAATAATAATAATAAAAAACGTCGGAAAATTGGTTTTTGATCTCATTTTTCCATTGAACTTGTTATCATATCGTCCTATATTTTCAATATAATGCTCATTTCTTTTTCTCGCGCTCTATTTCTATCTCTTACAACGCTCAGTAACAACGCTCAGCTGTAACGTGAATAGGTTACGCTCCATAAAACAAGTTAAATTTCGTTTTTTCCCATCAATGGCGATGAATATATTTATTTATTTTTTTGTGTTGCAGATGCTAAGGCAAATGAACAGTTTTCACGAAAATTCCTCTCTACACCATCGTTGGTAAACGATCGATAGTAATTTTGTTTCATGCTATTGAAATGTGTCCTTCAGGGCTGTGCTTTATTTAGATTTCTCAAAATTGCTTTCATATTGCTGCTAAAAAGTGCTGATATCAAACAATGGTTACACAAATTCAAATGCCCAAGAGCACGAAAAACTGGTAGCAAATGCGTGACAGAAGTGAAATTTAATTGTTTTCGTGAATTCAGAAGCACAATAATAAATGTTAGATAAAAAATATGCCATAACCATCGTATAATGGTTGACGCACACACAAAAGCATAAAGTTATTTATGAATTATTTTGAATTGAAATGTATATAATATACCGTAAGATACCGATATCCAAATACTGAGATTATGGCTGAAATGGTACCAATCAAGAGTGCGCCATGTGGAGAAACTATGATTTTTTTTTAATTTTAAATATAAAATGGCAAAATTAATAAATCAATTTTTATTTGCTGTAACTATTGGTTTTGCTTCTACCAAGTAAATTACAAACAGCTCCGATTGCCACTCCGCCAGCCAATGTTGAATTCTGTATATGGACCATATCCAATTTATGCTGATGACTTACAATGGCAGACACTACAAACGTGGAAACTAAAAAAAAATCACAACCGCAATAAAATTAGTTGAATTCGGAATGTTCACCGATGCGAGGTGCGAATGTGAAACAGGAGGGCAAAAGAGTCAAATTTGATTCAAGATTAGGAGTAATTTTCATGCAAACATAAATATGCCTGGTACAGCGATAAACATAACAAAAGCCATCAAATCATAACTCTTTTATTCAAAATACTTTTTATGCAATTTTTTGCGTATAATATGGATGCTCGGCTGATGCATTTATTGTCATTTACAATTTATTTGCATAAAAAGTAGATTGAATTAAAGAAATTTTACGGTGAGTTTTTCACGATGGTGTGCTATGAACTTTTGTTGTTTTTATTTATATCCACATTTGCCCATGTAGTAATTTTCGCTTTTGGTTTTCATGTTAATTACCCGTGGCTGCTGCTAATGATAAGTATGTATTCAAAATAGCACGATGTTGTTGCGAAATATCGTCCAATAAAGCAGAGTTGAAGCTTGGCCAAAAAAGCCACAGAAAAATTGTGCCACAAAAAGCAAAGATGTCAGATGTATATGACGATCCCTCGTTTGTGCCAGCATTGTTCTCTTCACGTTTCATTCGCATTACAAAACTTACGGCCAATCCAAAATATGCACCAAAGGCATGCACAATAATCGAGCCGCCTGCGTCTGTAATCTAATGTAAAACACAAATTATTTTTCCATGAAATGAAATGTAGAATGGAGCAGCAAAAAAAAAAAAAACAAGAGAAGCCAATATTCAAAATGAATATAATTGAAAATGTCAACAGGCTATATATGGAAAACATCCGTGTTCGGTTGAAACGATATGCACTTTTCATGTCATTTGACAAAAATAAAGCCGATTTTCATCGGAAATTATTAAGGCTATTGATTTGGTGGCGAACATTTCGTTCCTGCGGTGAATTTCAATTTTGCAATGAATTCATTGCATAGTTTTATGTTTTAAGAGATAGAGAGAATGGAAGAGAAAAAAGAGCTTTAAATCAAAACAAGCCGATTTGGAATCAAATGCATACAGAAAAAGCAGCACGTCGCCTCACATCCAATTTTAAATAAACATTTTCAATTGAACCATTTTTGGATGAATGGAGCTGAGTCAACATTATGGACATGCCGTCGATAACAATCGATTCATTACCTTTAGCAATTCAATTTGGAAATATTCATTCGAACTATACACAACGATTTCAATTAAAGCCATAAGCAGCAGCTGAATTGGTGTAGTTCGACCAAGGAGGGCACCTAAAATAAAATTATTATTTGTCTACGCGAAGAAGAATCGGCCATAAACTGAAAGAACATTATATGATTTGAACTGAAATTACCCATGCTAATCAATACAACAGCAGCAGCAATATCCGCTTCTATTACACGACTCAATGAAATACTGAATGGTCAAAATAAAATTCAAAATATTATACCCAATATAAATGCATAAATTGTATTAGGCTAAAAATCGTTCAAGTACCATATTTCTCTTGAATTACTTACCGAATTAAGCCGTTGTCAAGTTGAAAAACTCCTCTCGCAAGAAATGCCCATTGGACAGATATGGCTGCCACGAGTAAATTAAAACCAGATGCACTGAATCCATACTTTTTCAAAAAAGTCATTAGGTAAGCGAATCTATAATTAATTTAAAAAAAAAAATTATTCTTGTCTAAAAAAAGACAAAAAATGTAATCTACCAATATTCAACATTAAAGTAATATAAATTGATAATAAACATACCCTAAGAATATCATCACATGAACGTCCTGAAAATCTGTCCAAAAAAAATGACAAATATGTATCTTTGTTGCATAGTTTTTTTTTCTCAATGCAACCTTCGATTGATTACAATAGAAGAAAATGTAATATGCATGAGCCATTTCCAGTGGTTAACTCTATACAAACTTTTGACTACAAGTCATATTCATTTGGAAAAGACTCAAGGAATTTTACACAAAGCATTTTGCAAAGATGAAAGAAAGTTTTTCACGAATTAAAATCCTGTATAGCAGTTTTATGGGCGAATGCTTTTATGTACATTGTACATATTCATATTCACGTTTGTGATTCTATTCACATTGTATACATATCCAAGCAAGACAAAGTGAACGCGATTCATAAAAGATACGATATAAATGGGATATAAAAAGTTTTTCGTCAAAAAACGAACCAAACTGATTTATGAACATCAGCGCTTCATAACAAAATGATATAGATAAGAAAGAAGTGTCTTTTTCGTCATATCACATCATATGTATCATTGAAGCAAAAATCGAATATAAGGAGATGACATTCTTTTGAATTACACATAATAGATCGTCTATCGATAGATAGTCATTGTCAACAACTATCGATTTTATCAGGTATTTCTTTGTAACGTTGTACACATCATGTGAGAGTGATCGTTGAATGTGCCAATTCATTTCCATGGATTCATCTTTGTGTGAAATATTTTGGAAGGAACTTTATTTTTGCATAAAATTGTGTCATAATTCTCGTAAAATACCATAGTATGCCAAAAAAAATATTGCGCGCACACGTTCAATTTGTCGCGCGTGCCAAACATATTCATGTAACCATTCAACTCTTTTTGATGCTGACATCTTTATGTGTAATTCATACTATGCAAATGACATATTTCGTTAAGGAGTCTTGTTTACGACATACAACTTATAAAACTAAGATTATAATCTGATAAGAAAATACTCTTTGCTATTTTTGATTATATGAATTTATCGTATAAATTTGATGTTATGAACCAAAGACATAGTATGCACATTGCACAATGCATTTTACTTCGACCACTGCACTCTATGCTCAAAGTTGCGCAGCTGTGACATTTTACACTTTCTACTGATGCCCACATCCAAAGTGTATATTGCTGGTTGTAGCTCGATGTTTGTCTGACAGTATGAATACGTATATGTCAGTGGCGCCACCTCAACACTTTACACAAACTACACTCAACAGATTTTGCAGATATACGATACCACTATTGGATTATTGGATTATTGGATTAAACGGGGAGTTATTCACTCGATGCTCAAGTTTCGTAACTTATTGCATGACGACCCGTCTTGTGCTGTCACTCGATTGTTTGGAGAATGCTTCCCACGGTATGGCCCACTTTATAGCAGCCATGTAACTAGCCTCCGTACAGGGCCAGTGACCAGGGATTTCTTCTCAAGTCAATTGTCATGACAGTCACAAGAATTCCATTCATTCCTAGATGGCGTTGGGCTCTTCTTATTTCAATGGAGGAATGCACACATCGCTGGTTTACCGGTATATTCACCAGAGATGGCGCACTACCTTTTTACGGTTGTTGTATTTGCAATCTCTCACATATTCAATACAACAACCTGACGTGAAGGCACTCCATTTTACGTGTGTCTATGCTGAGCCCATATCTTCGTTATGCACACACACGGGACCGACGACTTTAAGTGCCCTTCCGAAGCACTCCACTAGCCCGAAACCCGGCCAAATCTATTCCGCATTAAACCACTGACGATTCCTGAGCGAGAATCGAACTCGTGTCCTTACGCTCACAAACCTGGCACGCTAACCACTAGTCTATGGCTGAGTTACTACTGCTGAGATACCACTATACTACCATTATGAACAAAATCTTCCTTCCATTCAAAACATATTTAAAAAAAAAAACTTATACAGGGTGTTATCGAATTCCATGAAAATATTTCCGACATGTTCCTTGGATCAAAAATATTCGATATGCGATAAATTCAGTAAAACAGATTTTAGTTCTCTGTGTACATGATATATGTGACAGCAATACTTATATGGAATCTAAAATCGCCCTGTATATATGTGAATGAAAGATAGCGCCTATTGTTCATTTGTAAAGTGTCAGAATGTTCTATGTATCGCGTTTGGTAGAGTTTGCCATTCAACAGTTTCAGGTGTCTTGTCTGTACCGCACGCGTTTAAATTTCATGTGCTCATAATGATGGAACTGTTTGGCAGTAACATCAGTTGATTATGAACACATATTTAAGTTCTTACAGTACTATACATAGATACACGTACTGAACTTCCACGAGTGCTGTTGCATTTTTCAAAACAACATATATCCACATTTATTATAAACACTTTTGTTTTTATGATCACGCTTGTTATTTTTTGAGCGTTTTATTGAAAATGTTTTTTTTACGATGCGCAAATATGTAAAATAAAGCTCTTCCAAGTCGTTGGTCTCTTTTTTTTGTAGTTGTTGAAAAATTCAAACGAAATATTCTGAGAGACTTTCGTTGAGAGAGGTGGTGATATAGCATATATTAAGCAATGGATTACGTATTTACCTTATAAATATAATACAGGTATATATGATAAAAATAGCGACCTCCTTTCATTGTATTCGAATACAATTAGGATGTTTGTAATATTCAAACATAAAAGGAGTGTGAATTATCGATGTTGACTACGAAAATTTATTTTGCGCATATTGATGTAAATAACTATCACTCTACAGAATAGTGTTCAAATTTTTTTTTTATTGAATTTTGTTCAAAATTCATTGAATTTAGCATATTAAATTGGAATTTCAAGTGGTGGAAATTTCATTCTAGTAAATAGTGTAGAGAACTATGTTTCACACTTGTCTTTGGCGAATAAGTTGTGTTCACAACGAAAAAAATGTGCTCACACCATGGTGCACACTCTTTTACAGAGAAAAATACGTGAATTATTTTGTGATGGATCGGAAAACGCAAATTTCTGTGTTTACATTCTGGTTTTTCACTGATTGCACAAAATACACTCCGTTGAAAATATGTATAGAGGATGACACGTACGAATCTGAGTACAAGTTTGCTTGTATTTAAGTCGAAGAGTCGAGGTTTCTCTTCTTCTTTTTATTTTATGATGATAAAACGCAGTTACTGCAGAATATATTCACAGCAAATAGTCGTCGTATATGGTTTAGAAAGCGTGTGCAATACCGGCAGCTTTTTACTACAGGAAACGTAAAACATTATAACCGCGCGCTACTTCATGATGTACAAATAAACATAATAATAAATGTTAATGTTAAATTATGCTTGTTTTACCCTTACGTGCGTTTATGTGTTTGTGAGTGTGACTGTGCGAGCATATATAATGGCGTTGGTGCCAATGTATCTCAAGTGGATGCAAAACTCTATATATACGATGTTCATGTTGATTCTGGTTCATTGCTTACTCAGTTACATTAGCCGAACGTGTTTAAGTTTGAAGCACGCGCTTTTCTCAATGCCAAATATGTTTTGAGTTGCTTTATAAATTTAAACTAACAAATAAGCTTACAATGATAAGGTACATAAGTTTTACTCAGCATTTAACGTTACTTATTTCACAAATTCTCTATCTCAATCTTTCTTTAGATGAATGCAGATTTTTATGCAAGATAATTAAATGACAATGTTTACTCAAGAGATAGTGTTTTCGATCACATTACTTATTAATATATATATGCCGCATGTCGCTCACAATCTCAAAATTTGTTGTTATTAGGCTAATGATAATGGTTTTATTTTTAAATGCATAGTAGAGTGCTTAAATGGTTTTAAGGTAGACATATACTTGATCAATGCAGAATTTTTGGAGGACAGACTTCTAGTTGAAGAAAAAACCTAGAGGGGTAAGTAAAAATTCAAATTCTATATAGTGTAAGCATAAGGGATTTTTGATTTCACTCGAAAATAATTAATTACGGGAGGAGAATTTAGTTCAAAAAACTCTAGCAAATTATGAGAATTCTGTGAACATTCTTAATTGGGTAACACTTCGTCAGGTAATCGGAACACCCGGACCACTGATGATCAAATATCATATTTGAAATATGAAAGTCGTTGTAAACAATGTTTTTTTGGAAAATGGCAATTTTTTTAAATATTCCTACCAAACATTTTTGGTGGACTATTGGACTATCTAACAAATATTTAAGAAACACTAATTTCACAATATAGTTTTTGTCTCTCTAATAAACACACCATTTTCAATTCAATTTTTTTACATATTTTCATTGGCTTCTGGAGAATGTTCTTGAAAAACAATTCTTCAAGTTCATCCACGTGTTTGGCACTTATTATTTTATTATTACTTTCAATGATATAAATTGTTTTTATCGTATTGTTTTTGTATACATTCATTTAAACTCATCACTTTAATATTAATTTATGTACTAAACAAAATTATGATGAATTTGCTTGACACATACACAAAAATAAAAGGACAATGAATCATGAGACAATAAGTTGCAACCGAATTCTATTTGTTCTTCAATCATAATAGCAATTTTGATAATTAACAAACCGTTCAGGAATACATACAACATACATACATTTATGCTGTAGATTGAATGATCATTCAATCTACAGCATAAATGTATGTATTCCTGAACGGTTGTAATTAACAAAGCAAATTGCATGTTATGCCAAATGCAAATGCAAAAAATGTCAACAACTTACGTGGATAGCTGACGCGATGTTGTTTTTCAATGGCCGCGAATTCTTCAGAAGTAACATTGGTAGTTGGCAACATTTCATAATCATATCGAACGAATATACCATAGATAATCAAAATGGTCACTTGAACGATAATGATTCCTATGAATCCACTTACTTCTGTTCCAGATGTATGCATACTGTTTTTACAATCAAATTAAGTTTATGGAATCTAAAAAAATCGGCTTATTTGTTTCAAGTGTCGAAGTTGTTGTTAGGAGAGAATAGTTAAAAAAATATTTATTTTAAACTAAATTAACGATCCATTTATATATATACTACAAAAACATGACCGTATCTGTTCACTGTTTCTGATGTAACTGAAAGTGAACTGGCACTTTCGAATCGAAATAAAGAGGTTATTCTGCACAGTTCAAGTGAAGCGCACGATGTAATTGACTTTATTGACCATATCATTTTCTTTTATTTAAATTATACGTAATTTAACCCTATTGAATGCACACGAACGATAGCAAGAATATCAAAGACATTCTAATGAATTATGTATACAAAGCCGGAGACGTTGCTACTTTGAACAGTTTGTAAATTCAGGAAGATTGCGTTTGAATTCGTGTTGCATATCGCTCACAAACTATGTGAGTTTTTCTGATTGCTTTTGTATTGAATATTTTATCACCCAATTTGATTTCAGTCTAGAAGTGAATTAAGTGGGTATGTGTGTTTATAAATTTGGCGGTCATTTGTGAGCGAAATTAAAGAATATGGTGACAAAAATACTTTCAATGAACTCATCGGGACGACATTTAACATATGTCCCTCTGAAATTTGCACAAATTCATAAGCATGTCATTTGAACAACATACACACACTATTAAATTCTTTTTTATTGATTTAAACCTTTATTCATGGGCTATCGAATAGCACATTTGCATTACACTGAATGGACCATTGTATTCGATTCGTCGAAGTTTGTATCGAACCTTCAAAATCATGCTTTGGCGGACCGACTTGTCGATTTCTTTCAACTTTCTCTCGAACCTTCGCGCCAATTGTTGCTCGTTTCAAGTATTTTGACCTTCGCCTATAACATACATCCAAAAACAGACGAGAAATAATTAATTTAGTTTTTTTTGTGAAGTTAAACAGATGGTTCTTTTTTCATGGAAATGTCATATTTTAAGAAGTGAGCCATTAGTGTGGTTTTTTCTGCTTGCAAAGCAAAATTTTGTCTTAAATCAGATAGTTCTCAATGAATTCTATCGATTTCAACAATAATTGGTTGATAATGGAGCATGTAATGGAGGTTTTACCTTACGTTTCAGCACCAAATTCTCGAATAATGGCTCTAAAACACCTTCCAAAGAAGATCCTACCATACAAACACCCGTTTATCAAAGTTTGGGTTGTTGACGTCTCTAGACTTATATAGTAGTGCCCTAATATAATCAATGCAAAAGAAACCACTTGCACTTGATTCATGGTTCGATTTGGCGATGAATGTTTCATTGTCCAAAATGATGATTTTTTCAGTGCAACATGCTATGAGGTGAAGTAAACACCCAATTTCAGAAACCCTTTGGAATTTTTTCGAAACTTATTTTGCTGATTACTAACGATAGTGTCTAATTCTATTGTTTTAATCCAAATTTGGATGTGTAACCATAAGAATCACCAAGAATGAATTTTTACTTGACCATCCCTGTTTTGGCACTCGGTGACAGTTTTGAAGGGTTTGAGCATTTAAATTGGGAATACGACCGTACTTTTTGCTTTTTCTAGAATCCTCATTTTCATACTAAGTCCATGAAACACGATACATGGTTCGAAGAGAGATTGGTTCATCTTTAGACACATGCACAATTTGTTTTGAACTTAGCTCGCCAAAACCATTTGAGACACTTTTTCGTAAATCCAATTTGTAGGATATTGCGAATGAATATAATTGAATGGTTTGTGTTTGACAGTAGAGTAGGAGTCCCGTTAAGTCTCCTATGTGCATTGGTTTACATTTTTGGTTTTTTAATGCCGCGCAATAAACGCTGTAGTTTGTGCAAATTTCAGTGGGACATATATAAATTTAATTTAATTTACAAGCTTTAAGCTAGATCTAGACGTTGAAGGCTTCATAAGAATGGAATCGTTATTATTATTACTCAAATGTTGCAATCTTAATCTACTTTTGAAGACTTGTTGCAAAGTGAAATTCACATTCATTAAAACTGTGTATGTGTTTGTGTTTTTGTTTGACATGCAATCTCATGAAAATGAGCTTCAATCACGATTTAATAATTTTAAAATGCATGCTAATTCAAGAGAGAAGGTGTTAACTCGCATGACTGAGTCACATCTGTGCTAAACTTATGTGCAAGTGCCACCAACTGTTTTGGTTTATTTTTACATTGAAAAGCTAATGAAATTGATAAACATTGAAAATTGGTACAATGCTCAAAATCATCCATCTCATCAGGAATAGAGACAAAGGAGAGTGAATAGAAGTAAGGGGCGCTAACGAAATTAGTTTCGAAAACTTGTTGTCGACGAGACGTTATTTATCCAACATTTTATCTTGTAAATTTCGAACCTCAGCTGACATACGTCCTCAGCAGGGGTCCGAGGGGTCCGATTACCCCCCCCCCTGACGAGGTGTTACCCCTTCAAAATTTTCACAGAATTCTTTAAATTTGCTAGGGATTTTCGCCCAAAAAGTGAGGAGCAAAAAAAAAAGAAAAAAGAAAAAGGTACACTTTTCGCAAAATACACTTCACTTTTTTGCTTACCCCTCTCGATTTTTTTCAATTACCCCCCCCCTTAAATTTTTTCCTTGAGGACGTATGTCAGCTGATAGTTTGACGCATACACCAAAGTTTTTGCTTTGAAATGTAATGAATTATGACAGAGAGCGGGCTAATCCGGTTAACTAGAGAAATTTCGATCGTAGAGTAGTGTCAATTTTCGCTTTTGCAAAATGCATGGCATGAAACTAATCAAACTTGAAAGTCGACATTGAGTGTATTTGTTGGCCAAACAAATCATCAAGCAATACAATTTCTCAGCAGCGAGTAATCGCTATTTATACACAATTTGTTCAATCGAATTCTATCGTTCTCCTTCTCTCAGTCTCCTTCTATCTATCTTTCATTCAACACGGATTGTTGTCGAAAACCTCGAATAACCGTTGACCCGATTTTCATGCTCAAAATCAATACGATGTATAATTTTCGTTTACAAATTGCAAGAAAAAGGAAAAAAATCAAGTCATCAAACATGCTGATTGTCGAAGACTGATGGAAGTTTTTTTTTTTTCAAAAAATTTCTTTGTATAAATAATCTACAAGTATATCGATACAAACAACAATTTCGAAAATCGATAAAAATGAAAACTACACCAAAATTGCTATTCATTACACAAAAGAATATCGTATAAAAGATTCGTTTTTTTTTTTGTTTGGAATACTAACAATAGATAAAGTTCAACGATAAAGCTTCCCTCGCTAAGTAACTAATGTAAAAGAAACTACTACTATTGTGCGGTTTTTGCTTTTTTCCTTCGTTCATATTGTTTAAAAGGGGAAACAAATGAATAAAAAAAGCAGAAATACAATAAAATAACATTAGCAATTACTATGTGAATTTTGCTATAGCAATACACCCTAACCTCAATAAACAAGCTCAAGTGATAACAAGAACTCAAACAACTTTACTAGTACAAGACAGGCGTAAAATACACATAGAAAATACATAAATACATAGGTTAAAGTCTCTATAGTGAAATGAATGAGTGATTCAGAATTGTAATAAAAGCTAAAAATAATAGAGTAGCAGTAGCATTGAAAACCATCGAAATTTTGATTTTACCACTAAAACTAAATCCAAAAATTTCACATTCAAATAATACTTATACACATTCGCTGGCTCTCAAGAATATTTGAAATTTGTCTAATGTTGTTGTTCGCATGCAATCGTATTTGTATATGTGTGTGTGTATCTATAGATAAATTGGTTGTTTGTGTGCGTTTTGTAGCCAAACACAGGCACACATTTCGGTTTGAAGTTTTTCCCGACGAATAAATATTTACATTATAAATAACTACTCAGGAAAATTAGTTTAGAAAATATCATAATAAATGTGCAATGTGTGTATTTGTGTGTTTGTATAACGGTCGTTGAGACTGAATGAATGAATCGAAAATTTGCTGCTTTTTGCCAACAGCAACGATACTGTTTTTCCTTAAGTTCGGTTTATTTATTGTGCTTGGTTTCAAACGACAACCTTTCTACCTGTGATTTTCAGAAACCAAAAGAACACACATATAACACGTCGACATTGTTGCCATCGTCGGGCATTTTCATGGAATTTATTCGCGCTTACAAATATTATATGAGCGTCAGTTGTCAACATAAATGTTCCCTTTTTCGCAATAGCGAAAGCAACGAAGCGGACCATTACGAAGAACGAAGTCAGTCTTCAATACTTTTCATTGTCAAGTGAATCGCACAAAATTCTTGAATCACCCGATTTACATAAATGAGTAAATCTGAGAAAAAAAAGGATATACATTCTTAAGAATTTCGAGAACATTATTTTCATATTTTCACTTCTGTTTGTAAAACAGAACATTGTCTTTACCATCACGTTTTTGTTCTTGAAATCATTGTTCGTTGATAGTAATATGAAATTAAGTGGAAATAATCGCAAACTATGTGAACGAAAGTAGAAGAAAAAAGACCCCAAGCCTTACATCATATTTACCGTACCGATGAAATTCATTCTAGTGGAAAGTGCAACAAGTTTTCAATGAAATATATATATATGTATATTCGAGCAAAGAAAAAAGGACAGCGTCTTTAAATCTGTTTTAAAAGTCGAATGATAGAGAAACCGAAATAGAGAGTGAGAGAGAGAGTAAAGAGTGAATGAAATAAACGAGTGGCGTTTGGTATGCAGTTACAAAAGAGTGGAAAAACAAATGGAACATTTGGTTTCTTTTGGAATGTTAAAAATCTGAATCAAATTGCACATAATCGAAACTAAAAAAGTTGAAACAACAAAAAAGCACACTTTTAACATCCGGGTTTCGAAAATCGTTGTCAGAAAAGAAAAGAAGCACAGAAAAATGTAAAGAAAATCCAACATGCACACAAACCTTCTTTGAAGTTGTTAAACGTGAACAAAAGCGGTTAAAGATTCGACGGGTTATTTGCATTGAGAATTTGTTTGTTCGGGTAAACGCTGCGATTGTACGTTTCGTTTTTCTCATTTTTTCTCGACATTCTGTCTTTATGTGTATGTGTAGTGTGACTGCAGAAAGAAAAATCATTGGTAAGGACTGCTTTCAATTTTCACTTGTACGCTGCTATATCGTTCAAAAGAAAGAAATCCATTTTTAAAAATCATTTTGAATATTTGCTCAAATGTTTGATGGCATGTTTTTATTATATATTTTTTGTTCATTTTTCTCTCTTTTCTTGCTTTCTAACCCCGATTTGCTCCATAAATGCAGCAGTGCGCATTTCTGGTTCTTATGCAAATGCCAGCGAAAAATCGTGGAAAATCAGCAGTCAGTGAACAAATAAATTTGTTGAATGTAAACGCCGATGTTGTGCTTCCATCAGCCTCACCATTGAAAATCGAATCAGTTGTACCACGTCGCAACAAAAATTCCACAAGTCGTTTTCTACAACGTTCCTACAGTACATTAAATTTACGATATTTGAATACATTGATAAGTGAGAATCATCATCAGCGTAAAAGTGGTGTCGAATCAAAGTCAAAGCAACAATTGATAAAAAATACCAATCGTGCTTTGGATTGTAACATCAATAGTAGTGGTAAACGCTTTGAAACAAACGAAAATGGCAGTGTGGCTGTCAAAACATCGCCATCGACAACAACGGTGCACAACGGCACAGCCTTCACCACATCGAATTCAACAGCAAAAAGTAGTGTTCAGCATGGATTTTGGCGTATACAAAGAACAACAAAAGAAAAGGAAAAATTTCCCGACCGAATAAATTTGGATCGTAGAGGCTTAGCCACTCTTCCCCTAATAGTTGATGAGCCAAATTTACGTTTGTTATCACTTCAGCATAATCTAATCAATAGTATCTGTGTACCTGCTTCCAATAGTAGTAATAGTAATAATAATAATGATAATAATCATGTAGACAGTGATAGTTCATCACTTATTACCGCCATTGAATTTGCGAAAAAATCGACTACAAATTTAGAGCACAAACAACCGAAAAAGTTTTCGACGAAAGCAACGATAAATGGTTATGGTAACGGAAGCAACAACAATGCCTCTGGTCAACATTTATTGCGTGCACAATCAATACAGAAACCGTCGTCACCATCATCATCAACATCTCGTACATTGTCACGTAATTTTTCCATAAATTCAAACGCAATCAGTCGGAATCGAACAACCAAAACTATTGACCCAAATCACCGTAATGCAACACTCATACGAGAAAATAGTACGACGACAACGACGAAAAATTCCCTTGTACCAAAATCAGCGCTTCTACATTCCAAAGAAAAATACGTGCTCAAAAGGGCAAATAGTGTTGTCAACAGTTACTCAAAGCATCTCGGTCGATTGATTCAAAACCGCTACAATGGCAATGGTAATGTGGCTTGCAAACAACTTGCGTTAGGTTCGAGCATTAGCAGTGATTCAACAACGCATGATATAGAACTACAACCACCAACCGAAATGTTAATGATAAAAAATGATCCGTTCAGTGTATTTGCACAATGTTTACAGAATTTAGTGTTTTTGGACCTTACAGATAATCAAATAGATCGTATTTCATGCCTGGATGGATTAACAAGTTTAACCGTATTGTTGCTGGGCAAAAATCGAATAACCGACATCTCTGGTGTCATCGGAGTTAAGATGACATTGCGTGTACTTGATTTGCATGGCAATAAAATATCATCGATAACACAAAAAATTTGTCAACTTCAACAATTAAAAAGCCTCAATTTGGCCGCCAACAATTTGCGACAAATACACGACGACGATTTCAAAGGATTGACGCAATTAAAAGAATTAAATATTAAACGTAATCGTATCAAGAAAATTAATGGTTTTGACGATTTACAAGCATTGGAACGATTGTGGATGTGTCACAATGAAATTGAAAAAGTGGCACATTTATCGTGCTTGAGAAAATTAATGAATCTACGTGAAATTACGATTGAAAATAATCCCATATCGTTGGGCGGTGATTGCATATCATTTTTGGTATCGTATTTAAAACGTTTGACTTCATTCAATCAAATGCATATTACTGATCAGGTTCGACGTGCCGCAATGGAATGGCGTAAAAATAAAGAACTATACGACTCAAATCCATCTGAGCTAAGTAGTGATATTCGACGAGAAGAGATTATATCAAATGCACGTACAAACTGGGAATTACTGCGCTCACAACAACCGCAAAAGTTATCCAACCATAATCATCAAAAGCCGATAAACAGCACTACCATTCCAAGGACTATAACAAACGAATGCGGCGGCGATGTTGAGAGCAACTTATCGGAAAATGTAATTATTGATAGAAAATTGATACGACAAAAAGCACAAACGATACGAAAAAATCTACGAAAATCAGTGAAAATGAAACGATCCTTATCGCAGGATAATAATAGTTCAAACGCAACAAATGAATTTCGATTACCACCCATTACACCCATTGCTTCGGAAAGTGTGCTCATTGATGCATCACTTAATGCATCTGCATCAAGTATTGGGGTTAACGTTGATTCAGCATCAAGTCATTTCATCTCTGAAAATGAAGACAATGTAAAAAAATCCACGGAAGACTTATCCCGAATGGTTAAAGAGTGTGAAACTGAAAAGGCAATAGTTGATAGTAATTTTATAGCCAAATCGGATGTGAATCATCCGATTTGTGAAAATGAAAGAGAGGTTGTTGCAAATATGTCAGAAATAAAACCCGCCAATACAACCGATATTGCTGATAACCTTGAAATCGACGAGTCCGCAAATAATACTACTATTGCAAATGAAACAATTGATAAAGATGCGCTTGCTGGCACAGGTACCCTCGAGAACACCGTTAATAATATTGCATCTGAAAAAACCTCACTTCATCGTACAAAAAGTATAATAAAAAGGTCGTGTCAACAACATACAATGTTACAACGTTCGCAAACAGCCAAAGTGATAAATCTGATTTCTCCGGTGCCAGCAACGATTATATCACAGACACCAAAACCACCAAAACAGTTGGATCGTGAACGGGAACAAGGAGGTGACTACTTGATTGAAATATCTGGCCGATATTTAAATGTTTATGGAAGTGGAGCGATTAAATTTATAGATCGCCAATGGAATGCGCAAAAAGCCAATGATGTACATACATTGAAATTTAGTTATGCAAATTTCAATAATGTTGCTACGATTTTCGGAAAGATAAAAAATCGCTTTCCAAATGCCGAAAATTATGCATTTCGTGAAACAAATATACAATTTTTCGGGCAATTGAATGCATTGGCTGAACTTCAAGGTTTAAAATCGTTATATATCGATGCCGAAGGAAATCCGATTAGTTCAAAAGATTGGCGTCAATATGCAGTCTATCGTCTATCGCATTGGGGCTTAAAAATAATTAACGATCAGGAGATTACAAAGGAAGAAATTGATGCAGCACAACATTTTTTTGAAGGTTTGTCGAATTTGGTGCTGTGGTCATTGCCTGAATCAACCATTGAACCACTGCTATTACGACTGAATTTGGAAGAATCATGCACAAACGTTGAAAAAATCAAACCCAAACAATGGTTGATGAGCGCTGATTTATCATTGCGTACTGTAGTTGGAAAAGAGGCGCTCCAGTGCAAATTGACACCGAATACATCGAATCCATTCGTTCAGGAAAGTGAATTTCGAAACCGTGGTCGACAATGTTTATCGACAATGGTTGAAAATACCTACAATGCCGTTGAGAAACTACAAAAATTAGAAACCATGTGGTCGGGCATGTTACTTGATATTGTTAAAGCGACTCTACTAGATTATGCTCAAATGGATGCATACATCGAACAATTGATGTTTGATTTAAATTCGACGGTAAAATAAATATAAAATGAACATTATTTTAATAATTATTTACTATTATTATTATTATGTACATTTTTAATAAAACCAGAACAAAACGTAATTCCATGCATGAACTTTTCAATTTATTCGATTGTTCTCACATAATAATTGAGTTTTAGTTTTTTGCAGCTTTAACATTCTCTTTTTCGAGAAGAATATCGAAAAGAATAAGTTAAAAGAAAGCAACTTGACAATGTAAAATCAAAAAGTGTACACTTTTTTATTATTTCTATTTTTTTTTACAGAAAGGGCTAGAACAAAGAATTTTTTTTTAATTTGATCAAAAACAAAAAACTATTGAATAGCTTCGCTATCCAAATGAATTTTTTGCTTCTTTTTTTTGTCTTTTATCTTTTTCTCGGTATGAATTACGAGTGTCGTACATTTATCTGTTCCAGAGGTGAAACTTTTCCGTTTGATTTTATGCGTTTTAAGCAGCTCTGTGAAGGATGTCATTTCGTTTGCTTTTTGCATGAGGAATTGTTCTGTTATCGTTTCTGGATCGTTTTCCGTTCGATGAAATATTGTTTTGGAACTATTTATCTAAAAAAAATATCACATAGTTATATATGATAAATATATAATATTCTTGAAATAATCTTACTTTAAGGACATAAATATCATTAATATTCTCATCAACAGTGGGCCAGTGTTGGTCCAAAGCATCTTTGTCCCACTTAAGATGCATTCCATCGACATCAACACGATTGGGTACGGATAGGAATTTTGACCAACATTCAGACGCAAACAACGGTGCAATCGGTGAAAACATAATAAATAGGTCAGCCAATGCGCGTTCATATTGCGGATTATACTTTTTAAGTGGCTTTGGGAATTTCTGTGGGATTTAAACGTTTGGTTATCGAATATTTTCAATTCCACATAATTAATTCGATTTACCCTTAATTCATCAGTAAGTTCTTGGCATATTTTGATTGCCGAGCTAAAATGTGCATTTGAGTAAAAGTAACCAGCCTTAGAAACGCAATAATTTCTTAATTCAAATAGCTTAAGCGCCTCATCGTCATTATCAGTGATATTCTCCGGTTTGATAATTGAATCATCAGTTCGTGCCATATTAAATTCATTCAAACACAGCCATATGTTTTGTTGCCATTTTAATATACCGGGGAATGCTGTAAAAAAACTTCAAATATTATTCAGATTTTAAATGTGTGATTCATTTATTTTTAACTTACTGTCTTTTGACCAGTTGCGTGCACTTCGTGGTAAAACATCAGCAAGCATTATTAATCGAATAGAATCCACACTATATTCATTGAAAAGTTCTGTTGGATCAACACCATTCTTCTTGGATTTTGACATTTTTTCCCATTCCATATGAACTTTCATCCCGGTCACAGTTTCTTCAGCTCGATTTTGCTTTTCGTTCAAAATGTTGACTTCTTCTTCTTTAATATGGCGTCCATCCTGAGTACAAAATGTACGACCATTTATCATACCTTGGACGACTAAACGTTTGAAGGGTTCAGCACAGGTAACATATCCAGCTTTTTTAAAAAAATGCATGAAAAATCGTGCCATATACAAATGCAAGACAGCATGCTCTGGAATATACAAGAAATCGTTTCAAATTTGAATGAGTGTTACATCAAAAAAATTCAAAAGTGTCTTACCAATTCCACCAATGTACATATCTACAGGCATTACTTCTTTGGCCAAAGACTTATCAAAAATTACCTGAAGCAAGCGGTATATTCGAAAATGAAGAAGAATTTAATAAAAATCATATTTTATAGGCAAACCTTACCTTGGCATTGTCTGGATTTAAATATCTTAAAAAGTACCATGAGCTATCGACAAATGTATCAAACGTATCAGTTTCCCGTTTGGCATTTAAATTTCCACACTTATGACACTTGGTTGTATACCAATCGCTTCGCATACTCAACGGAATTGGTTTTCCAATTTCATCGAATGTAGCCTCTGGCAAATGAACTGGCAGAGATGAATCGGGTACTGGAATTGAACCACATTTTTCACAATGAATTATAGGTACTGGACACCCCCAGAAGCGTTGCCGTGAAATTAACCAATCCGTAAAGTGGGGACTAACCGGATATCCGCCGATTTGTTTACTTTTAGCTTTTTTCAAAATACTTTCGCGATTTTTCTCGTCCGGCGCTAGATTCTCATAACTTATCCACAATTTATCGGTTAAATTTCGATCAATTTCATTTACTGCTGGCAATCCAATATATGTTTCACAATGTGGTTGATATTCGAGCTCATCACAAACAACCAATGGTATCAAAGCACCTTCTTTGAAGGGATTTTTCACAGTAACATCCAACACACGACTGCTTTGTATGTGTTGGCTTAAAAAGTGATTGGATTTGATGGCTATAAAGCCGGGATTTAACATTTGTTCTGGCATTGTGGTCCACACATCAATTGATTCCATTTCTTGATTTTCACTATTTACATAGAATAAATCTAATTGAAACTTATAGCCAGTAGGTTTACCAAACCAATTTTTCTGCATTTTTATAACATCGTCCCAATCTTCAAGCGTTTCATTATCTAAACCGTCATATAAATCTTTAGCAAAATTTGTTGTCCGCAAGAACCATTGTTTGAGCAGTTTTTTTTCAACTTTAGCACCAGATCGCCAAGAACAACAATTTTCGTCGACTTGTTCATTTGCAAGTACTGTGCCATCAACAGGATCCCAATTTACGAACGCTTTTCGTTGATAGGCCAAACCATTTTTTAACATTTGCAAAAATATCCCTATCAGGAAAATGAGCTCCGTTTAAAATGGACAATTAATCATTACAAACAACAAATCGATGCTTACATTGTGTCCATTTGTAATATTTTGAATCGCATGTCACCAATTCACGTTTCCAATCAAAAGAAGCACCGAGTTGAACCAATTGTTTTCGCATGTGTTCAATATTTGCTTTGGTCCACTCGGCTGGTGAAATTTTTCTTTCAATTGCTGCATTTTCAGCGGGTAATCCAAAAGCATCAAATCCAATTGGATGAAGCACCTATATAAAAAATATTTCATCTTCAAATCAGAATTGCTGAAGAAACGTAAGAAAAACAATTACATTTTTTCCTTTTAATCGATAGAATCTAGCGATTGCATCACTAATGGTATAAACTCGAACATGACCAAGATGTAAGTGTCCAGATGGATACGGAAATTGTGGAATAACAACATATTTATTGTCGGGTTTCGATTCGTCAAAGCCAGTTTGTTTGATTTTATCACGCCAATGATTCTCTATATTGTGTTTAATTTCGGTGGTCAGTTTTGTTTGCTGTGAATGAAATGTTTTGTGAATATTTGATAAAGAAAATATTCATTCAATCAATTTTTCAATACAAACCGTGAAATTTGTACATCCCTCCGTTGAGTAAAAACTGATTCTATGGCGTATCAAGTTTTGATAGCGTGATAAATTTGTGGTGTTCAATTGAAGAATTCTCATTTCTCTCTCAAAAAGAAACCTAATCATAGGATTACAAAACCAGACCTTTATTCCTTTGAGTCGTGCACCGGACTTATGTCAGTGAGTAATTTGTGTGGTTAGGTTTTTGACATTTTCCTCTTGACACATTACCAAGTTTCGTCTTTTTGACATGCCAGTTATTATTTAGTTTTCATAGTTGATGAAAAGACGTGAGAAAATCTTAGCTGGAAAAAATGAATCGAACATTTTTGGCACCATTTCAGTTGCAGAAACAGTTTGTTCGAAATTTGTTGAGTCGGCAACAACCGAACAAAAAGCACGTCTATAAAAGAGTTGGAAATGGCAAACAATTAAACGGAATTATATATTATGGACGGTAAATACTAATTTTTAGGTTATGTTACAATGTAGAAAAGTGAATGAATAAATTTATTGAACATTTTCTTTTTTTTGTGTATAGTGATAACTTTGAAATGCCGGAAAAGTTGCCAGAGCCGCCAAAACTGTTTCGTGTTCAACGTTTTGCACCTTTGAAACATCGAATCTATTGGGAACGTAAGATTCTATTTCAATTGGGATTAATCAATGATGTATGTATATTGGATATAATAGTCGACTGTTTTCCTTAATCCCATTATTTTCTCTTCACAATTCAGTTGAAGGATGTTGCAATCGTTAAAAATACTCCCGAAAATAATGCTCTGTTGTGGAAAGTAAAACATTTGGTCTCAGTTGAACCCATTACATTTCCATATGGTGAACCAAGCGCAGATGATATCAATCATACGAAATTGAATGAAAATGGAGAATGCATTGTCCATAAGAAGATTGGAGTTGATGAGCGGTGCGTTGAAGAGGCCGATAAATTCATCAAGGATCCAACCAGATTAGACAAAGACACGCTCAAACGCGAAGCTTTATTGCGATGGGTACGTTGCAAGATATAATCACTTATAAATTACTATTCCTTTACTGAAGGATTTCTATCCATTCTTTCAATTATTTTTCCATTATCATTCATTACATATTGATTAATTTCCATTATTTGTATTTTTCTTTTCTAATTCACCCCCCAGGTTCGAAGCTACTAACGAGAAGAGAAGAAAAGAAATAGAGTGTACCAATTTATATATTGAAATTTTATTGAATAAACAGCAAAACAAGAAAATAACAAGACATAACGATTTTTATTCACTTTGACAGTGACTGAAATACTTTTGAATTATATTCAAATCGCTTGTGGAAGGAGATCGATTATATACATTATCTGGTAATTCCGTGTATTTTTTATAGATATCGATCGATTTGTCATTGACTTTTGGCGGTGTCACTTGTTTATAATCATCATTTTTATTGCTATCAAGCGGAACGAGATCAATCATTCGTTTATGTCGATTTTGTAATGGCTTCTTCGGATTATAGGTGTTCATTGTGATGCTCGACATTAGAACAATTCCCATTTTGGCGTATTGTTTATATTTAATCATATCTTTTTTGTTTGGTTGCTTTAAATTAGTTTTATAAACTTCTCTCATCGATGGAAACATTGTATCAAATGTGACATATTTTGATGATGGTGAGCCTAGTGGTTGTAGTGGCAGTGCTTCACTTTCACTTGATATATTCTGTGTGAATGAACTTTCCAAAATCGAATCATCTTCGGAGCTTGTGCCATCTTCGGAGCTGCTCGAATTCGTAGATCCAGTTGAACCGGTTAACGATGGATTCTTCAAAATACCGCGACCTTCGCTACGTCTTGTTGCTGGCACAAATGGGCTGAAATTCGTACGAAATGTAGGTGTGAAGCATCTGGCCATTAAACTTATGGTGAATGCGATATTTTCTTCAAAAGTGGTCCACTTATACGGAATGTGATAGCTCGAATAGTAATCGATAATATCGAGATCGGACGAATGGACGAGAATTAATTCATCGACGATTTTATTGCTATCGCTTGTTGAATTTGGCAAATGCTTTAAAATGAATGGACTGCACCATTCAGTCAATGGTTTTGGACTTTGAATCTCGGACTCGATATCTTTTTTTGAATTGTGCATGAAGTAATCGGTTGATAGGTCCCATATTGGAATATTTTCTAAATATTGGCGAATATTCAAATGAATAATGATCATTAATGTTGCTGATTTCAGTTTTTGAAATGTAAATAATATCGTATCTACCTTTATTTTCCAATGGAATGAAAAAACCCAAAAAAATATTCATTGAATGTTGTTTCTCATTGTCGCTGAATGTATTTGAATAGTAGCGGGAGAGAGTCTTTGCCAAGATAAAATTGATTTGATTACAACCAATTAATAGAGAGAAAAGTGGTAAAGAAAATGGGAAATATACCTGCATAAAGTCATTGCCTTGTGACGTCCATGCGGCCGTTTTTCGGTATGTTTTGATACGATGGACAAGTTGAGAGCCTCCATACTGCAATGCCAGTGTATCACCATGGTCTATTCAAATGAGACAAAAATACATTGGAAACTTTCGCAAACGGAAGATAAAGAATAACGTGAAATTACCTTCATACAAACTCTCAAGCATAGTAACGCAATCTGAATCAAATTCCAATTTTGGTGGTGCTTTTAATAATCCAAGTCGATGAAGTTGATGTGCTAATGCTGTTTTTCCGATCGCAAACTGTGCTGTATTCGTTCTATCTAAACAATCGACACAATTCACTCGAACGATGCCCGTTTGGAAAGAAATATCATTTGAATCTTTGAAGAAGAGGCCAGTTTTTTGTACAAAATTTTCGGCAAATTTAGCCAAACTGCTCATCACATTTCCGCCGTGACTCTTTTTCGCCATATCGAAATGGTGGTATTTGATTCGGTGCTGTGGTGGTAGGAACTGATTAAGATAATTGATGGATTTTGTCATGTCTTCCGTTAAAATGCTTTCATGTCTACGTTTTTCACGTTTTTTCACAAGATTCAAAACGATAATCGGCGCACCAAAATGAAATAGCAAACGACTGTAGTGCTTTCCTGGGGTCGTTGCATATGGATCAGATAAATCTAGTGATATTGGTGGCTTTGGTACCATTTTACTGATATCTTGTGACCAGTGAGATGGTATTGAGCCTCTCATTTGGGTAAAACTGCACATTCGCGAGCCATCTTCAAGAAGTTGTTCTGATTCTACTTCATTTGCGACATCGCCAGCAAAATTGGCACCTCGTTTTAAAAAGCGGGTTCCTGCAAAGCATGTACTTCGTCGTGCAATCAAACAAACATACACCGAACGACCAAATATGCTAATACTTGATTGTGAAACAAAACCGTGAATCACTTCTAAAAGCCAATCTCGATTCAATATCACAGACATCGGTTTCAAGAGATACCTATAATGAAAAGCCAAAATAATTTTGATTCGTGAACCATTTTGTATAATTGACTATAAAACTTACGCATTCCAAACAAATCTTTTCCGAGAGACACCTCGAATGGCAAACTCTACTTTTTCATTTCGTTTGTTTTTCTAGAATAGTAAATAAAATCAAATACATATATAGCTATTTAAAAATTTGAATTTCTTACGTAAAGATTCCAATCAGGTAATGGATCCTCACGTTCAATGTCAGCATTTCCAATGAAACGCGGCGCTGATAAATTATGCTGAAGCGTTCGTGTTAAATCATAGCTATAACTGAAGTAAAAATTACTATTTAAATCAATATTCGTAAACATTCGCTGATAACGCTGTTCTAGTGGGTGTGTTTGTTTTACAGATGGCTCACACACACGTATCATCACAGTATCTTTAATTGTATAGACAATGTGTTTTCCAATTACAGCACATTTTGTTCGCTTTGTCACCAAAATCATATAATAACTTTCCATAAAACGAATAAATCCCAATACACCATACGCACTAATTTTCTGTACGAGAAAAAAACAATTTTGATTTCATAGTTGCAAATATTTGAGTACATCTAAAAATCTTTACCTTGCATTGACCAAGCGTGCCGACAAGTGTACGAATACCTCTGGCATCGTATTCATTGGGATATTCATGAAATTTTAATTCATTTCCGGCGGTTCTATCAATTTCAAGGCAGCGAAATTTCGTTTCTCTATCATTGCTTCCGACCAATAATAAACGCTAAATTAATGCAAAGACAAAATGCAATATGAAATATTTTATTATATACTAAATTCTAGACAGTTACCGTTTTCGTTTCATATAAGGCAACTTTTTGAATTGCACTATTCACAGAATGAAATGAAATGTTGTTGGAGTTATTCATTGTAATTTTTTTGCAAATATTATAGGAGTTATTATCAGATTGACAGATTTGACACATTCAAGTTTTCATTACGCTTGAATATTTCCACTTTTCAAAAAAATTGTCGTTGCTCAGAATTGAAATATAATAATTCATTCTCACTCAAATATTCTTCTATTTCTTATCAAAATTCAAATATTCTTCCATTTTTCATCAACATAAAAAAAATATATAATATGAATACAACAATTTTTCTACTTTTATTTGAACATTTTGTTTGAAATGGAAACCGGCCTTAATGTCTAATGCAAAACACAAATACTATTGACAGCTGTCAGCGGTTCAACAACATTCAGCATAACAATAAACAAGTTTTGTTTTGAAGCGATATGGAGAATATTTACGGATTTTATTGACAAAATAACGATTGAAACTTGTATAGACTACCCAGCAAACAATTGATAGGGCAAATGAAGCACATATTGACGGTCGTTTTCGGGGTTAGATTCGTGTGTAGTTTCAGTCATTTCCATAGGTTTGGCATGGTGGAACATTCAGGTGTGAAAACATGGAAAAAGGGAAAGACAACCATTAATATCAGTTGAACTGGGTATAAAATACTTTTTTTAAATTAAAAACTTTACTCACCTACGAGCACTCCCCCTCCGTACAATGTTGTACTATTGTACAACTAGACCACAAGACTTTATATAGTCTGTTCATCTTAGTTAAAATATTTTATTTTATGTAATTTTTTGAATGTATGATTAATTGATGATGTTTGTTAGTTGACATTGTTGTTGTAGTCCGGCGGTCTTAACAATGAAACTGGCAATGGTACATCAAAGATCCGGCAAAGTCCTATGTAATTTAAAGCAAATACATTAAATAATGAATATTCTGTTTCCAATTGATTCATACCTTTGAGCATAATGCATTTTGCTGCAACAATATCTCGGTGCCAAGTAACTGTTTGTGGAACAACATCATCATCATCAACATTTAATGGCCAATTTTTGTAGGTAACTTTAACCTTTGACATTAAACGCCCAGTCCGAAGTTTTTCGTTCACAGCCTCACGATTGCCATCGATAATTTGTCGCTTAATAATTGCACGTTTTCTTCTCAAAACACGTCTGTTGACCGTTGACACAATGATATCTGGCAGTCCAGCGACTGAATCTGGCAGGCCATCAATCTTTTTCGCTCTACAATCGTGGCACACTTTAAATCGATCATCTTTTGTGTGCCTTGGAAAACGTTCCTGACAATTCGCGCATGTTTGTGATGTTCCCCATTCATCTTGCATTTCAACTTCTGAATGTCCAAGTTTCTTAATGCTCACACGAAACTTACGCGATCCCGTACATCTTTTACGCTTTTTTATTCCAAACGGTCGATCGGGTTTCATCGCCCAAGCACCAAATTGAACCAACGACGGTTTGTTGTTTGTCACACACACGGCGATTTGATCATTTACTCTGGTCGAGCGAATGTAATGGTCTAAATCCAGTCGTGCATATTCACGCGTCGCATAAGCTGCCATTCCTTTTCGTAACATTTTAATGCGATATTCAATGTATGATTTCCATGTTGAATTACGTGGTGATGGTGGACGATATGGGTAGGTTTTGAGATGTTCCTTCTCTTCGATATCAAACCATCCAGCCAACTTTTTCGCTTCTTTGTCTCGTTTTTTCTGCTGAGTTTCCCAATGAAAACGCTGGTTTGGTATTATAATGTTTTCCTTCAAAATGCAAAATGATACAAAAAACTATGAGTTTCTATTCAAAACCATTTCAAATTACATTTCAAAATATCTTACCTCAACAGCCGGCTCATCAGGTGTTTTTTGAATGTTGCGACGCACTACAGTTAACCACGATTTTTCATTCGGATCGATTCCAATGATGTATTTCTTGCCAATGAGTTTTTCCGGCCCCCGATTCGCTTGGGTTGTTTGCTGTGGTCGTTGTTGTCGCTGTGGTTTCTTGTACATTATGGATATTGAAACACTATCGGTCAAAATCTGATGATGAAATGGTTTCGATTTGCCCAATTTATTTATTTTACCGACATCGAACAACATATTCCATAGACCTGATCGATCAGTTTGGGTGTAGTACTTTAAATTTCTCTTATTCATCCGGTTGGTCCGCGTATTGAGAAAAGAAGGCACCAAATCAAGCTCGTTTACAATTTTATAATACAAGTCCTTAATGTCCAATCGCACGTTTTTCAAATGGTAGTCGCATAATGGTATAAGAGCAAAACTGCTTATTTTTGGTGGTCGATTGATTGTTGGCTCTTGAAAGTTCGGATTGTTACGAAACATTTCATGAATGGTATTCCATTGTTCGGCATGACTGTGATACACTTCTATTTGCCGTTGCATTTGACCGAACAACCACAGTGATTCAAACCAACGATATTTTGCGAAAAATTTCATACTCACTGTTCCCGACCATCCAATTTCAGTCAAATCTCTCATTAAAATATTGAATTTTTCAACGCGTTGTGGATCCACATTATTACCATTTGTTAAATTCTTAAATCGATATGAAAACTCTTTGGCATTTCTGATGTCGATGTTATCAAATCTTGAGCCATTGTTGAATCGATTGCGATACCAACAACGCATTCGAAAAAAATTCTCAAGTCGTTTTTCACACCATGTGTTGGTATTGGTTTGAATGTTTGTGATATATTGTTTATAAAAATATCTCAAACCATTTCCCAACTTTTCATCATCTGGCCATCGGAACTGTTCTTCACTGTTTCTTTCTACCATGAAACGAAACTCGGGCAATATCCGATATCGACTATTAATATTGTTAACGTGTTGGTTTAATACCGCTCTGAAACAATCGGCAATGAACAGGCTTGGATGTGGTTTCAAAAAAAATGCACGATCGTCATTATCAAGTGCTTCATTCAAAATAAAAAGAATAAAAAGTGATGCCAATGCTGCCACTTCTGTCATTTGAACACTGCGCTCGAATAGCATTTTGGTCACAGCTTCTCCAACTCTTTCAATCCGTTCATGTTGTTGTCGCAGGATTGTTTGAAGTCCACATTTTATTACAACGTATTTGCTTTCTTCTGGTTGATTATCATCGAACTCGTCGTCATCCATGTCTTTTTCTGTTCATTCTCAAAAAACTGATTAAATTATTCGAAAATAAAAAATAGACACAAATTTAGAAAAAAAATGCAACAAAAATAGCATAGATTACGAATAAAATAAGATCACAATTTAAATGACAATCACTTATATCACAATTCAAATTAATCACTTCTTACCTCAACGATGTCACTCTGTATTCTGATCATAGATTCTGGAGTTGACGATTTAAGGGGGGGGTAATTTGAGAAAATCTGAAGGGGGGTAATTTTGAAAGTCCATTCTATCCAGTGTAAATTTGCTTTCGGAAAAAAAGTTGAGACCGAAAAAAAATTTGAAATTTTTATTATGACATATTCCAGTAATCACTAATATTATTACATTATTTTATTAAAATTAAAGATACAAGTTTTACAAATACAATTAGAGATACAAGACTCGAGGTGAGTTCGCAATGAATTTAAATTCTTTGGAGTAATCATATCAATCGCCGATAATAATTTGATTCGAAAATGCAGATGTGCAAAAACTGAGACATAAACAATATAGTTGATCGAACTTAATCAATTAAATAATCAAACAGTTGACCGGACTTAATTGTTTTGTCTACGGCGAATAAATAAATTTTGTTTAGTCGGACATTCGAATATGAAAATTGAATTTTTGAAAAACCTCAGCAAATCGGAATAATTTTTGCTCGAAAATAAAAATGGGAGTGGGTACTTTCAAAATCACAGAGGGGGTAAATTCGTTGCTCAGGGGGGGGTATTTTGTACCCTGGACCCCCTGGTCAGAATCTATGATTCTGATTCAAATGATGAAATGTTTTCCAATATTCCGCAGATGAAAATTTTGTTGGAATATTCACCGTCAATTTTATGAATGCTTTCTTATTTTGAAATAACAACAGAGACAATCTCAAAACCAACAGTGAATTTATCCGTTTAACATCGAACAAACAAAATCATTGGAACAAATGTTAGCCAAAAATGACGACAAACAAATTGTTTCATACTCTAATATAAACACTCACACATAATTCTCAAGAATTCCTTTTACAAGCAAAGCACAATTTGTTACAAACAAAAAATGAGAACACACTCATATCACAATTCAAATGAATAACTTCTTATACTATATAACGCTGTGTCCTGATTAAAACGATGAAAATGTTTTTTTTTTATTTTGAAATGAAAACAAAGACTATCACAAAACGGACTGTGAATCTTTCCATTTGACATCGAGTGACTTCTACAGTTACGTTCCAAACACACTAAACCGTTGCTAAAATGACGATAAACAAAAAATGAATCTCATGTACAAGAATTCCATTTATTAATCACTGAATTTTGTTTTTTTTTTCAACACAATGGCAACTTAACCATAATTACTTACCTTATTCTTAACAATAACTTCAAAATATTTTGATGCGAAAAAATCCCTATTTAGTTCGGTGCCGGAATTATAATTTCATACATTGTTCAAAGAAATTAATTGATACGATGCAATGTTTACGAAGCACATTTTGAATGTAATCAGAAAAATCGGCTTCGATATGATACACACCAATACACACAGCTACCAACTGTCAAATGTCGTACACATTCAAACATGTTTCGAATTCGAAATTCGAATTTGAATTATGAAATAAAAAAAATAAAAAAATGTTTCTGAAACTAAAATCAAATCAAACAAATCTAAAAAAAGGTACATTTATAAATGTATTTCACAGTCACTTGAAATTCCTACGCAATGTTTTTTTTTATTCATGCACAATCGAAACACACAGAGAGAGAAGAGAGTAAGATTTGTATTTTCATCCTCTTTTTTTCCGGTTTGTTTTTCAAATTTCATTTGCTTAAAATCAATCGTATGAATACGATATTATGAACTCAACGAGTTTATGTTATTTACATTTGTTTACATTGTATTGCCGCTACATTTTCTTAGAATATAATAACAAAAAGAGAAACAATCGAAACACACAGAAGATGTTGTTGTGTATCGCAACACGAAAAAGCCGAAAAAGTGGTTCACATTATGCCTATATTCTACCTTCCATTTGACACGAAAATTGCCACAAAAATGGGTTAAAGCGTTACATTTTTTAACGTTAAAATGTCCTAAAAACGTTACATATTTGTCCGTTGGGTAGCGAATGTTAAGGTATGGCAATTGATAGCCTCAGTATGTAAAACTAAGAACTGCAGAAGAAATAACGGAGATACTGAAGAACTTTCGAACAATTCATCAAAAACCTTTTGTTCAACTCGTATCACTTGATTTGACCAGACATTCAAATTCTCGCATAAAAGTGTACACTTTATGACATTTTTATTTTATTCCAATTTAGTATACAAACTGTTATTTATTCTTAGTAATTTCTTACTCACTAGTTACAAAAAACTGTTTCATAAGTTGATAACATATTGAAATGCCTTCGGAAAATACATATTTAAAATAATACGGAAATTTTACGAGAATAAAAGCATGCATACAAAATATTGATATTTTTTTTCTTCCATAAAAAATGCTAACCAGCAAGTTGCTATTACTTAAGTCAATGTTTCTCTTTACAGTGTGAGCTTTTAAGATTAAATTTAAATCATGGATCATATATAAAATGGAAAAATAGTTTGGAGTTAGCTTGTAATTGCTTTTGTCAGAATATTGGAAGCATATTAATAGAGCTGGTACTTTCAACCATATTCTCTCTGTGTGCGTACCAGAGAGTATGGTTTATTATATTGGCTCAAATACAAAAAAAAAAATACTTGCAATTTAAACTAATCGAAATCGATGACAAAATAATTTCAAAAAAAATTGCGCATTGAGAGAGAGAGAGAGCTAATCGGACGATCTGAAGCCGGTCGAACGAAAAACAAATGAATAAAATGAATTTGAGTACGATAAAATTGTCAATTTACGAATTATTTTGGTAATAGAATTTAATTTTGTGTATAAAATATGATTATGTGCAATTTCTATACGATGGCCTTATTTTTGTGCGATTTTAGCTTGCATTTGAGCCAGCATTTCCTGCATTCGTTGCAGTTCGGCTTCTTTTTCTTGTAAAATACGATCTTTGTCGGAGCTGATTATTGGTGCCGGCGGAGAATCATCTTTAGCATTTCCATTTGAAATGCCATTTTTCTTGACGCCTTTGGCCAAACGTTCAGATCTGTAGTTTTCATAATGCACTTCTTGTGTGACTTCCTGTAAATCTTGCATGTGCGTTCTGAATGAGAAAAAAAAGAACAATTGAATTAGAGTACATTCAAAATTAATTTGCAAACTTGAAAATCATTGTACTTACATCAGCATTGTTCTCAATTTTATGAAATCGCAATGATCTGGATTTTCAATTTCTATCGTGCCCCAACCATAATTTCTTGCTCGTACCTGAAAAATCAAAATCATTTGAATTCGTGGACCATTTTTTCCAAATAACTATAAAGTTTACGTAATAACATGAACCTTCTAAGCGAGTGTTAAATTAATATACCTTTTTGCCTTTAACTTCGAGCACTGTGGTGCTTCCACATACAGCAAATGGCACTGCCTCTTTGAGTTGACGTACTTGTTCTTTGTAATCCTCGTCTTCGTCACTATCACAATCAGGCAAGGGATATATTTTGATGCCATTGTTTTCAATCTCTTTTAGAACGCGACTCTTCAGACGCTCCATTTCTTTCTTTGTCAAACAGTCGGCCTTTGCAATGACAGGCACAATATTTACTTTATTGTGAAGCTTCTTCATGAATTCAATATCCAGTGGCTTCAAACCATGACCAAAAGGGGAAATAAAGTAAAAGCAGCAATGAATTCGATTATCAACAATGTTTCGACGATTCAAACCCGACTCGTCACGTAAAAAACGTTCATACTGCTCGTCAATGTATTCTAAGATTGCACTAAAACTATTTGAATTGTCGATGGCATCGCCGAAACCGGGTGTGTCAACAACGGTCAATCGCAATTTCACACCACGTTCTTCAATTTCAACCGTAGATGCATCCAGTTTGACAGTCTGTTTTTGTTTTTCTATGTAAACAAAATAAAAAACAAAAACAATTTGATTACTAGGAAACCCAAATGAATAATAAATAATTACCGATAGCATCTGGTACAACTCGTTCTGGATACAAATCAGTTAAAAATAAGCTGTTGACTAATGTCGACTTGCCTAAACCGCTTTCACCGACCACCATCAATGTAAACTCGAAACCTTTTTTCACTGATTTTCTGTGAACTTGATTTGGTAGATTTGCGAAACCAACGTATCCCGGTGTATCAAGGCTTGAGAACTATTCAAATCAAAATAGAAATTTAAATTTAAAAAAATGTATAATTCTTAATCAGTCACTATTTTTATGCGATGGTTCAACTATTTCTAGGTCATTTTCAATCTGTTGCGATTGCAAATTCCAATTCCATACAAAAACAAAGAAACAATAACGACTTTTAGTATTTATTCAGTGAACTGTTTTTGTAAATGTTAAATGATTTTTTTTTCATTTATACTGTGAGAAGTCGTTCGATATTTTCGCTTACGTGAACATTTTTACCAAGTAATTTGCACCACGCTTACATGGTTTGAATGACAATATATGCCGTGGATTATTTTATGTCAATAAACGGTAATTTTATGGTAAAAAAACACCTTTTGCGTTAAGAATAAATTCTAAAATTTGACATGTAAATGTTCAATTTGCATTAAAAACTATCTTTAGATATAGTTATAGTGAAACAAGAATATCGCTTCATTTGTATTTAATTTAGTTTTCAATACAAATGTTAGAAACCTAATACTGTAAATTAAGTTGAAAATGAAAATCAAGACAAATAGAGATATAAGAGAAACTCTAATGCCGTATTAAGTGACGAGAAGAGAGTGCATATTCATTTACCAAAATGATTATATGTGCGCTGCATAAACAAACGGCGTTTGTTGGCTTTCAATTAATCACAATATAAATTACTTGTTAAGTAAAGTTGTTGTTTTTATTATTGAACATACAAAAAAGACGACGTCACTAAGTTATTTGTACATGTGTTCTGTTTCTAGAAAATTGTATCGATTTTAAAATTGTATGCAATTAAATTAAGAAAAAAAACTTATTTTTGTTACATTTCAGATTAAATGAATCCCAACAAGAACTAATTCAAATCTTGATTCTATCTTTTCACTTTATCGTTCATATTAATATTTCATTTTAGATCTATTTGAAATGCTTTGTTTGCGTGTTACACGATTTCCGTTTCAGAAAACAATAGCGATAGTGTATATACAGTGCATACTAATGTGGAGTGAATGATCCCGAAAAAATTGTCTATAGACAAAATGATTCGTTTGATTTATGAAATGTAAAAAATAAACACGAAAATACATCGAGTCATTTCCGAGCCGATTTGATTCTTCAAATAGATCACGTAAAATACTTTAATCGCTTGGATTTAGCAAATGAAATGCTCTTTTACTTTGAAATCGTTTTGAAATTGGAAAACAGATGTTGACACATCTTCATTAATGTGATCGAATAGAACGTTTGTTTTTAACAAAAAATACACTGTCATTCACATAAAAACGATTGTAAACTAACGAGAAATATAAATGAAATTGTGAGAATTTAAAGAATCTCCATTTTTGATTTGCCTACAATGAGATTGTACTGATTGCAGAATGAAAAACATTAATTGAATTTGTGTTACATTTACGAAGTTCAGTGTCATTTCAATCAGTAATTTAAACTAAGCAATTAGAACAGAATCTAATTCATTTTAATTTGGAGCATTTCATGTTCAGCAATACACAAGTTCTTTAATTGCATTCAGGCTATGGCGACAAATGTCGGAGACTTTTGCGTGCTCATTCGATGGAAAAGATGGAAAACAAAACATTTTTTGTTCTTTATTTTTCAAAATTTTCCGCCACGCCTAAGAAATAAACGACATTCGATACCGCACAAAACTGTCGATATAAATTAAATGGTCAAACGCATATCCCCTGGTTGAAGTTTTTTAATGAATTAGGGACTCACTGCATTCGATGCACACGAATAAATGACAAAGAGAAGTGCAAAAAAAAGTTTTAAATAAACACACAACAGGAATTGAATAATGAGTCATCGAACCAAAATCCATGTATGTCAAATTGAACTTGAAATCACTTAAAATTTGATAGCATAGATGTAGTTCAAGTTTGTTACTTTAATGTTCTCACTATTGTTTACAGCACTTGAACGCCTCAGAAGTTTTTTTTTATTACTATAATGCGAATCCAGATATTTTCAAAGACTTACATTCTTTGCGGTGTCCGATGACATTGTAGCTGATGCAACGTATTCAATAAATACAAAATACACAAATGGAGAATAAAAAAAGAAGTGAAACTGCTTGAATTTCAAAAAAAAAAAACTATGAATGTAATGTCCCCAACGTCTACTCGTAGAGTATTTATTAATTGCTGTTACACTCGTCTGACTCCCGTCGTCGTCTGCTTCACACAACAACTTTTGCCTGCTATGGAACTGTCGAAGAATACTGCAACAGAGAAAATTCGTACGAAAAAGAAACCGTCAATTCAAATAAACGTGTATCTGTATATGTGTCAATGTATGTAAATTGTTGTACAATGTGTAATAATTGCTGCTAATGATTTGCACGGAAAATTATATGAAATGTTGTTTAATGTTTTTTAGAGAATTGTTTGTCTCTATAACTTGACTTCACACCAAAATTCCAATGTGTGCGTATGCATTGAGTGGTTATGTATTCCGCCGCATATATGTGCATAAACACGATACACAACATACATAAGACTTTGATGAAGCGAAAAGGGGCTTCACTTAAACTCAAACATAAAATCACTAACACTGCAAGGCCGCAACGCTGAAATTCAATGGAAACAAAGCCGCCCCGAACGAATAAAAAACAATCAATTTAAAAACAAATAGATTTTTCACAAATATATGGACTTTTTCCGAATTCTTTGTAAGTATTTTTCAAATATATCATAAATTTCACGAAATGAATGGGAAAGAACTGTACTTTTTTCACATTTATAAAGAATAAATCTGTCGAGAAGAAGGAATGATTGACGATGCCGATACTCTAATGTTATACAGATAAACACACATACACAGCTACACAACGCTTTAACGATAACTGAAATTTTGCGTAAATGTAGTAGTTTTGACACAGGATTGGACCACTCACTGAACCATAAATTTGTCAAATGCTAAACAAATGAACCATTTTGAAAAATGTTTTGATTCTTTTTAAACAGTTGAAGAGCTATTGACAATTTTAAAACAAATTTAAGTGTTTCCCCTCAATATTAATGAAATGATTTTGTTCAAGATTTTTAATATTGCATGAAATAGAAATTGAAACGCTGAAAAAAGGAGGAGATATTTTTAGTACAATATTTTTGCGTAAGATGTCTCTGTTCGCTTTCAAACTCTCAGATCTTTCTCTTTCTTTCATTACTCAAATGACATTTGAAATATGCAGTACATCTGATTAGAATGAAACAGCTGTGGCACTGAATTGGATGTGTTAAAAAGGGACAACGTATTATACATACAGCATACACATATGTATGAAAATACCTATTCAATCAAATTCGATGTGCATATCAGTGAGAGATGTGTAAGATTGTTGTGGTTAAATAAGTATATTCATCATTCTTTAGTTGACGATGTCAACTATAAAGTCAACGGATTCAGTGCTAGCATGTGATTCAGAGTGTAAGGTCGTTCATTGAAATATTTATAACTCGGTAACACATAAGCAAGAGAAACTCAACAGACAAATGCTTTAGATATTTTTTTTCGTTTCGTTTTGTTTGAGTTCTGATTTTATTCCATCGTTGTAAATACACATCGAAGAAAGTGCAATTTCAAATCAACATTAATAAAAACAGCCAAAATCTAAATATTTTCGGGGATTTTTTTTTTCAATTCTGCTATTTCTTCGTTGACTATCTGTCAAATAGCTGTATGAAAAGAGAGAGAGAGAGGAAGAGCGAAGGAGAACGAATAAAGAGAGAGGAGCAAAAATCCACATTTTTCGTTCATTCGGTTAAGTCAATGTGAGAATTGTTGTGTAATTTTACGTGAGCGTTGCGCACACTTCGAAGAAAAAGAAGTAAAACGAATTTCAAGATTGCAGTTACTGATTTCAAATAAATAAAAATACCAAGTGATTTTGATGATTTAAATGGAATTAGATTTTATTCACTTTTTTAAATAACATGAATGAAAACTTTTCAACATAATTTACGTCAAGCGATAGAAATTATCATAGATCTAATAAAATCGCATATAGTTTTTTTACTGTGCTTGCTAAATATTTAAAATTAGTTAACCTTTTGTGACATTGAAGCATCTTTTACGGCTTTCAAATATATGTGATCAGAAAAAATGCGATTTCTGTGATGAAAAAACAATAGGACAAATTTTATGGACAGAAAAAAATATACAAATACATTGTGCATCAGCTGAATACTGGTACAGAATCATTGATACGTGATAACCCAAATATACCAACAGTTCATTCATTTTTAACACGAGCCTAGCAAATAGGGAGCAGATTTGAGATCACAGAATCCTATGTGATAACATTCCGGTCAAACTATTACTACAAAAAAAAAAATCAACAACAACAATCAAAAATATATATAAAGAATATTAAACCAATTAAATTAAATTGAACGAGAAAGCGAACGAGAGAGACGCATAAAAATTATCGTTATCTAAATATCATAAAGTCAAGTGTGTTTTGCAGTCACATAGTTTTGGTTCGAGCACGATCGTGATATAAAGCTACAAACCACATAAAAATAGAAACGTTCGTTAGCACATATTCGAAATCAAAAACATTGTCAAATATTTGTAAATAGAAGTGCAGCTGCAAATCTTCGTCACAATTTCGTTCGCGCAGTACAAACGTGGTCTTTAAAACTAGAATGACAATGACGAAAAAAGAAGAAGATGATGACTTGTTGCCCGATAAGGATGCAGCCAAAGGCTTCTATGCCAAATATGAACCCAAAGAAATTCTCGGCAGGTAAGATACTTTTTGTACATTCATTCACACTTTATTCATTTAGATCGAACAAAATTGATAGGCAAAATGATTGTTGGCACTTATTGAATAGCGAAAATCAACAGGAACCAGCTAAAACCATTAATTAATTTCATAACTCTTGCAAAAGTTGCCATTAGATTGTTAAGCAAAAAATGAGGCTGATCACTAGAGGCACGTTCTCTTCCAATCGTTTTGTTCGTGTTTCTAATTTGAATTGCAATTTATTGCTTACAAGAATCAGCACTTTTTTCTCGTAGCAACCGTATGTTACATTTTCACAATAATTGTGAAACATAATATATTAAGTTCCTTATAAAAATGGCCGTAGAAAAAAAAAACCATGGAAAAATATATGATGGAGCCATATCATCCATATGATGGAGCGAAGCCAAATTGCAATACTGAAAAGATGCACAAAAATTGAAAAACAAACAAATTTACGTCAACATTTTCAGTTACACGTCAAGGAAAAATAAATCAGAAATAAATAGTTCTCCGAGAATCAGACATTGATAATACGGGATTTAAAAACAAAAGTAAAAAAAAAACTCAATTCATACGCATTTAATCAATGACGGTATTTCATACATAAAAAACAATCGATTGATTTCTCTGAATTGAACATGTTTTATAAACTCAAACAATTATCATTGGAAACAGATCTTCTGAAAAAAAAATATTCCAATTGTCATTTTGTAAAAACACATCTTTTTATATAGGGCACACACATTCAAAAAGCCGATCGCAAATTTTGTTGGTTTTTATGTGTAACAACTTAGACTGTGCATGTACAAAGTCTATATCTTCTTTCACAAATAACAAATATTTATAATTTTTGTTTCTTTTCGTTTGATATTCGTCAGATCGTTGCGACGTCAAAATTTATGGAACAAAATATATGCATGTCTTGAAAATACGTTTATATTTTTATATGACTTGCCTTTTCCAATAAGTGTATGACGTGACGGAATCAACCAATGAAAAAGCGTTAAAAATGGGGGCTTGTACATAGTGTTGGTCTGTAGTTTCATTTAATTGAAAACAATTAATTTGTGTTGTTTTATTTTATTTCTTCGTCCCGTTTCTTTTTTTTCGTTTTTTTGATGTGATAAACTTCTAATGTTTGATCTGAGAGATAGAATCTGAAAATATCAACAACGACATTTATGCTATGTTGCTAAGTGTGCTTTATTTCAATACACTGCATCGACTTTATTTTTAAGTTTGCAACTGTTTTTTTTTTGTAAGCTAGTAAGAAGATAGAATGTAATTTAAATTTTTTCTACTAATCTATTTGAAATAAAATTGAAATTGTGCACCGTAAACGGTTGTGTTGATTAACCTATACCGAATTCCAGATATTATAATACAAACTTTGATATAAGTTACTATTAAATAACTTGTTTTATGGTCACACGTTTTTAAATCCCAAAAGTATTGAAAACACTTTCGACGAATGACTGTTTGATTTATAATAATTATTCACAAGAACTTTGTATTCACGAATTTTGAATGAAATTATTTGCTACTTCGATAAAATAAACAACAAATAAAACCGTTGCAATCGAACAATGACCGACAAGACCATAATCCGATACTACAGAAATCATTGCCACACTTCAACACAATAACTGTATGATACGCTTGACAAATGTCAGCATTCGAACTTTCTCGAAGCATCGCGGTACTGCCATAGACCATTGAGATAATGTGGGACCTAAAGAAAGCTTTTTAAAACAAATGGTCATATGATCACGACGTGAACAGATGAAAAGAAAATGCCAACAAGAACATAATGGGAACGATTTAATTGCTTCAGAATAACAAATAAAATATGTAGATTGAAGGAAAAATACAAACCGTTTGATAGGACAGAGAAAGTCAAACACCATAAGCGGCATCTTATGTATTATATTTTGATAAAGATATTTAAATTGAAGAAAAAAAAACGCGTTCAGAATTTAGGCGCCTTATCAAGTTTTGTTATTAAATATGATTTCTCTTTAAATTTTCTTTTTTGCACGTGATGCAAAATTTTATTGGAAACTCACGTCTTACAAATCAAAATAAAAAACTTGAACGTGAAGAGGAAAATAAACGATTCTAAAAATAGACACAAGTTTGTTCAAATCGTTGACATTATACAAACTCACCTATTCTTGATAAGCCGGTTTCCATTTATATAATAGGAAATAGGTTATTATTTTTGGACTTGATTCGGATGTTATAGTTGAATTTTATCAAATTCATGAACAGACTGAAAGCAAATGCAAGCATATACGATATATATGATGCCGATTCTATTAATTGCAATATGAACATCGCCACCATCGTCTGTGCTATCCAATCGAAAGTAATTTTCTATGATTGAATTCATAATATTAGCGAATTAAAGCAAATGAAAGACGTGACTGGGTACATTCGATAAAATCCAAATAGAAAAAAGTTAAGCGGACAAAAGTGGGCAAATGTATGCTCTTTCGCATACATCTCAATGGCAAATACAAACAAGCGCATTGAGAGAAAGAGAGAATAAAAAACAATCCAGTGGAAAATTACCAGCACTCATTCACACAGAGTTAGAGTTTTTTTTCTGTTTTTTATACATATATATATACTTTTTTGTTCAGTTTTTTTTATCGTGTTTGTGTAAGTGCTTGCAAACGCAGTTTATTTATCATTCCTCTTTTATTTAATTTTCTTCTGTCGTTCGTCTGTGATATTTTATATGGTATTCGTACTTATATACATACTAAATACTGTGGTGAACGTTTTATCTCTCGCGTGCTTTTTATGGGCCAAAATAAAAAGATGTAACCGCTCACATGTGACTACTCACGTCGTGTCACTTGACTCAGCTTCAATCGCATGCTTCTCCGAAAATGCATCATCATTAATAGTGGCCCACAATAAGGAATACATATTAATCGCTTGCAGTTCATCAGACGCGGCTATAAGCGCAACAAAATTTGGGTTTATTCCATGACCTTAACTCGTGTGACTCAGTCATTGAATTGTAGTGTTGATTTATCTATATCTAAGGTGTTAGTATGACGTTGTTTTTTTTGCTATTGATCTTATATTTTTTCATGCTAACTCGCTTGTATTCATTCAACAGCCATTTCTCAAATGTTCATCGATTCCATTCGAATGTATCGGATTTTTTCCATTCATATAAATATGTATTTTTCATAATTTTATTTTATCGTCTGTCCTCTTTTACAATTCCGCTTTAGTTTCGACAATCAGTTTTCTCGATTCTTGCTTTTTTCCATTTTTAAATCACGCGTACGCATTTAACATGATTTAGTCGTCGGCGCTGCACTACACATTGCGTTGAAGATATATAATATATATTATATGCAATGGAAAATTTCTACATTTAAAACGATAAGATCATTCACTGTGCGCCCATCATTTATGGAAACTTTTTCAATTTTGCGTAATGAATGGAAGAGTTCTAGAATTGAAATGAAAAAAGTAAAAGCAATCGAAATATTTACAAAGTCGCACTCACACACAGCCGACCAAATAAATATTGATATTTAATTTGGCAATAAACCCAAATTCCTTTGTGGTGCAACAAATTGTTTTGCATGGCATTTTTGGTTGAAATGTGAGCTAAAAACCGTTTATTTATATTATAAGTAGTCGGAGGCACACTTTGAATTATAGCGAATTGAATGTCATGCAACAATCAATTTTACGCTCTGTTTATTTATTTCGACAATTTATTGTGACGCCAAACTGATTAGTGAGTTGAATATAATTGTTGCTATTTTTTCATCTCATTTACCATTTCACGCGATTAATATACGATGCGTTGAATTTTGGTTCCTTAATGTGGTTACTTTGCATTGACGTCAACGCTCATGTCAATCGTTCGACAAACACCGTATCGTTTTATCTTTTTTCTATCAACATTTTTTAGCAACATGCCCACAGTTAAATGTTGAAATATTTCCTATTTCAAGAAAGAAATTCATTCCAGTGATAAAAATCTAATGTAGCAATACTTGAAGCTATTTTGGTAATTCGGTTTCACAATGTTGTATTATTTCATTCAGACAATATGTGCGATTTATATAAAAATAATTCCATTCATTCATTGTGATGTATCTTTTGTTGTTAAAATTTTCTTAATTCGCTCCAATTGATCTTGGTCGAAATGATGCTAAAAATAGCAGACACTCTATTTGTATGGACAAATTTACGCCATTGATAATAATAATTCAAATAATAATGTTGTTTGCAAAATTCAATGTACTTTTCATACAATCGGACTCCGTTAATTTGAATCGTTTGACTTTTTTCATGCTGTTTGAGTTATTCCAATTTTTCAGACAAGCATTTTTTTAACCGGATAAATGCGATAAAATATTTTTTTTCTTCAAGGTCATTGAGTTTCTTAAAAATGAACATTTAATTAAAAAAAAAGATGTTTGTTGTGAGATAAAAACCAATTTATGTGTCAATTCACCGCCGTTTCAAGTTTCTTTAACCAGACTTTTCTGTCTGTTTCATCTCATAGAAAAGGGTAAAGTCAATAAATTGATTCTAGTAGTCATCTGTTGCTATACAAAATGCAAGCGTTCAAATTCATTCTTGATCATATGTCAAAGAGTTATCACAGTTGGACGTCAAAAATAAACTATACACAGCGAAGTGATCATGAATACAATTAGAACGTTTCCCATTATCGCATTCCGACTATATATCCAATTTAAATTGTGACAATGACAGCTTTCGAAAAATAAAATCAAAACTCACAATAACTCACTGGATCAAGTCTGGAATCATTCATATCACACGAATGGTTAGTGAGAAAAAGAATGAAAACGGAGAAATATTTTTAGATTATAAAAAAGTCAAATCACGGTCTTAATATTGTCATGACTTTGATTAGAGTTAATTTATAAAGATTTGCAATGGTGTAATCACGACGATTGCTCTATTCATCTCGTTGATGATTATTCTCCTTTTGTCTCGTTTTACCTTCTATTTTTCGTACAAACTTTTATTCGCTGGCTGCACGGACTTGATCTCATTTTTTCATCTTTGCACCAATGCGATCATTGAAGTTGACTTCAATATCGGCCTGAACCCGTACGCGTGCGTTTTTGTTGAATTCTATGACATTTGTGATGATCTGTGCATTTGCTCAATCTTATCATGACACAAATACGTCAAGTGAATGCATAAAAATAGACCAAAAACATCCGACTGCAGTTAAGCCATTACGATTAATTGAACGATTCTAAAAATAAACGCAATGCACGCATTTCCCATCCAGTTCAAACTGCGCCACATATTTAAGAAACTTTCCGTTTTAAATTAGTGAATGAGGCGATTCGCCAAAATTTATCACGTACTAAAATACAACCAGTCATTCTCACTCAATACATACTGTGTAAATATCGCATGTGTAGTGCAGGATATATTTTTAACAAACGCCGGACTGGATTTGGAGCATGGACTTTTCAACGACTCTATTATATTATTATCTTGTTATTATGAATCACACCACTGTATTGACATTGATTGTAAGCATGCGCTGACTATGAAATTTCTACAATCAACAATGATTAAACTAAATTACCATTGTAATAAACACGTCAATTTTATATTCCAAATCTGTTTTCTGCAGAGTGTTGCTTCTTAAAAAAACTGCTTCACTACTATTTTAAGCAAGCAATATTTCATATATTTCCATGGAATATCCTATCACAAAGTACACATAAATTTCGCAATAAAATTGATTTGTTCAATTGGACGTCGTTGTACGTTGTCATAGATAAAGTGCCCGTTTAAAACCGGCGTAAACTTGATCTTAACTGTTCGAGCATTAATTCAGCATATTCTATTGCAATTGCAGAAATACTGACTCTTTCCACTATGTTCTACAAACATGTTGTACAAACTCATTTGCACCGAGTAAGATCAATATGGTTGAATCTGTGTCATTGTTGCAAAGACAAATGTTTTGCCAATTAATTTCTTCGTATTTTCTTTTCACAATTGCATTTGTTTGTTTTAAAGCACATCAATTTGGTTAATTCCTAATTAAAGCAACAATTCATCATCTTCAGTGATTACCTTTCAATCATTCATGAAGTCTTCCGATTCACCTTGACATTAGCCTTTATTTACATGTGAGACACTGCCGTACATATAAACACTTGTTATATCAGAAGTACTAATTGCGACGCGACGATTTAACAATGTTAACAACCAAAATATGTATATGTACATATATGACTATAAATAGCTATAAATTGCTTCAACAACATCCGAATGAAGCTCGTGTGGAATATTTTTATTCCCTTTCCAATGTTTGTAAATAACTTCAGCTTGATAATAATGATGGAATCATTTATTTTCTTTGAATTTCGTGTAAAAGCGTGCTAGCAGTGTGACTAGAGGACGCGTGATTACGATAAGATAAAAATATGACAAATTATAATAGAAATATGCAAGCTCATATGTCACATCAAACCGATCGTACACAACTAAAGTTTATATGTGTGAATCTGATAATATAGAATAAAGATAAGCCGCATGTCCAAAAACCTGCAAAAGTAGTAGTTCATTGAATCATTTCGATTGATGTTAGTCACAGAAGATGCCCAAAAATAAACTTGAAATGATGAAAAAGAAATAAACACTTCATTTTTGTCCCCGAAAAAGTAAGGTTTCCTCGTGCCTGCGTAATTTGTTTCGAATGATTTAATTGTTTTTTTTTTGTTTTGCTTTCGTTGCACACTGTATGGCTTCAAAATGAACAGATGTATCTATGGCATGTGCCAGCTTTGTTTTTTCCGTGTCCTACGGTCGTTTTACGCGGTAAAATTTCGACAAAACAGGAACTGGCATTCAAATACGCATATGCCAAATTGCTAGCAATTTTAACAAAGTCCAATACGCAATATATAAATATATATTGCCTCACGTGCTAGTGAGTCTTATTAAACTGATAAGCGCGTGGCCCATGGAATTTCATCTTTTCCTTTTAATCTTATTCTTTGATTTAAACGCAAAAAACTGACATTTTCTTTATGATTCATGAAGTCAATTGAAAAATCATGAACATGTAATCAATTAGAAATGTTTTATCACTGTCTAGAGATAATTGGAGTTAGGTTAAAAAGATTACCCTTATATTTCAAAATTCCTATCTCTTCTTACATTTTTCCCACAGAGGTATCAGCTCAACGGTTCGAAGATGCATTGAAAAAGAGACAGGACGGGAGTTTGCAGCAAAAATCATTGATTTAGGTGCTGACAGCGGTGATGTTTCACCATCACAAATGCTTGATTCGACACGGCAAGAAATCGCTATTTTGCGACAAGTCATGGGTCATCCTTATATAAGTACGTGTCATCAATTAACTGTTAATTTCATTAAAATAAATTTATTACATTAAAAGAGTAGCAACTAATTCATTATTATATTTCAGTTGAATTACAAGATGTGTTCGAATCTGATGCCTTCATTTTTCTCGTTTTTGAGCTGTGTCGAAATGGTGAACTATTCGATTATTTAACGTCGGTCGTAACCCTTTCTGAAAAGAAAACGAGATACATCATGAGACAAATCTTTGAAGGAGTCGATTATATTCATAGTTCGAACATTGTTCATAGGGATTTAAAGCCGGAAAATATTTTGTTAGATGATAATTTTAATGTTAAAATTACGGATTTCGGTTTTGCCAAAATCTTACCAGATAATGAGAAATTGTTCGGTATGTTTGTCTTATATTAAATGTAAAATTTAATCAGAAAGTCAAAGAAAATTTACGATAAACATTATCGTCCTCAGATCTCTGCGGTACACCAGGATATTTGGCCCCCGAGACACTAAAATGTAGTATGTGGGAAAAATCTCCCGGATATTCAAAAGAAGTTGATATGTAAGCTCCGTTCACTTATTTCAATCACCAACAACCAGATCATAAATTAATTCCTGAACTATTTCTCATTTAGATGGGCATGTGGAGTCATAATGTTCACCTTGCTTGTAGGTTGTCCGCCATTTTGGCATCGCAAGCAAATGGTCATGTTGCGAAATATTATGGAGGGAAAATATAGTTTTACATCTCCTGAATGGGCCGATATTAGTGGTAAGTGTGGAATAAATTTGAAGCCTTTAATTAGATTATTAAAAGTTTAACTTTTTTTTTTTAATTTGCAGAGGACCCTAAAGATCTCATTAGAAAATGTTTAGTTGTTGAGCCTGAAAAACGAATTACAGTCAAAGAAGCTTTGGCACATCCATTCTTCACAACTACGGTAAATTTCCATTCTTTTTCAATATATCTTTAGATTCTTTTCACTTTTTATTCTATGTTTCGAAGAAACAAAGATAGGAATTCCCTTCTTGATTATGTTCTGTTTCAAACATATTTTATTAGAATTTTTATATTTTTGATTTTTTCTTAATTTTTTTCCTATTACTTTTTCTTTCTATTATCCATCAAACATTCAACTTTCTTGCGCACATCACACTCAAAACACAAATTTAAATCGTATTAAATACCCGAAAAAATTGCAAATCATAAAAATATGAACACAATCAAAACAAAAACGAGCAGCTATTTGAACAAGATATTGGCCCACTCAAGAGGAGTTTGTCAGCTAAATCAAGAAGATTCAGTCGCATATCCGAAATAGCACTGGTAACCAACTGTTTCTGGGCAAAAACATGTTACAAAAAAAGAGTGAACTTTTCATATAATTGTCATTGTGTTTGTGACGTTTTGATATATTTGTCTTAATTCTGCTTTTATTTCGTCTATCATGCAATTATTTATTTATTTTTTGCGTTGATTTTTATTTTACTTTTTGTCCCGTGTATCTATTCTTTTTTGTTCGAAATTTTTTTTGTCATTTGTTTCAAATTGGTGTCATTTTGTATTTACTAAATTTTTGAGTTGGTTTTTAATTTTGTTTTGTGTCACAACCCAATTTTTTTTCTATCCGTTATTTTTATTTGTACACTCTGTGAATTTACATGTTTCTAATTCCGGAAATCGGTAATCTTGCATTAGGAAAAAATATATTTTCATTTTCATTTACAATCTTTATAATCAGTGGTCTTTTCAGAGCAAATTCAAGTAAAAAGTCTACATTTCTAATTAAAAAAAAAAACGGTAAAAAATGGACACATACAGAAACAAGGACAAGTTTGAAAACTAACTAAAACAAGCTGCTTAACCCTCCTAGGTATAGTAACGGTCTATTAGACCGAAAACTTAGAAAAAATATCATAATATCGGAACGCGTCGACCGATTGCCATCAAATTTTTGCCTTTATGCGAGAATAATGAATAAAAATTGAAAATAAAATTTAAAATCCTGCCACTGATCTGTAAAAAAAAATATCGCATAACGACGATAATCCTAACTTGATCGTATAGTTACGGTCTATTAGACCGTCCATACAAAATACAGGGGAAAACATACAAAAACAAAACAAAGTCACACTTTTTTTTAATTTTTGTATTTTTCTTTTTTGAAAACACTGAAAAATCACATCATCAAAATAATTTTCATAGGAGCGTTTTTTTCGTTGAAAAAAATACTTTCTCATGTAAACAAGTATTGAAGTACTGAATGGAAATTGGAAAAACTTCCGATCGATTCTTCTCGTCTTTCCGATGGGAAAATAAAAAAAAAATTCCAGCCATGTTATCCCCGGTGTGCTCGACTTCTAGAACACTTTGGACCAGGTTTGGGTCCACCTAGTCCACAGGATTCGATTCTGGCAACAACATCTATTACTGTAAGAATCACCGATCGATTTTTCTTATTCTCTTCAAAATATCACTTAAAATTAAGTGAAGAGGATGCAGGATGCACTTCCAGATCAATTCATCTCACATAATATTATTGAATTTTTCAGCTCTCACTGCGACAATGAGATTTCTTAATCTGGAAGTGCATCCTGTTGAATAGTTAGATCCGACCTGGTCCAATGTGTTCGGGAAGTTCAAAATTCTCATCCCTACATCATCTCTTCTTCATTTCAAGTGTTATTCTACAGTAAATAGCTTTTATAAGCGAGAATAAGAAAAATCGATCGGTGATTTCTACAGTAATAGATGTTGTAGCTAGAAGGGGTTCCTGTGGATTAGGTAGGCCCAAACCTGGTCCAAAGTGTTCTAGAAGTCAAGCACACCGGGAATAACATGGCTAGCAATTTTTTTTCTCCATCGGAAACGCGAGAAAAATCGATCGGAAGTTTTTCCAATTTCCATTCAGTATTTCAATACTTGTTTACATGAGAAAGTATTTTTTTTAACGAAATATTTTTTTTTCAACGAAAAAAAACGCTTTCATGTAAATGATTACGATGATTCAAATTGATAATTTTCTTAAAATCTTTCTTATTTTTAACTTTTAACCTTCTTTCAGTGTTTTCAAAAAAGAAAAATACAAAAGTTTGAAAAAAAGTGTGACTTTGTTTTTTTTTATGGTTTTCCTGTATTTTGTATGGACGGTCTAATAGACCGTAACTATCCTATATTGTTTTTATTTCGAACTATACCTAGGAGGGTTAAAAGTACATCGAATTAAAATGTCAAAATTTCAAATGCCAAATATATGACAAAAATGCACTAACAAATTTTATTTTCTCAAAAACGCGCAATTTTCGATCTTGATATACAGCTTGCATTTCCTTCAATCATATCTATAATGAAACAATTGTCTATTCGCTTATCGATAATATCTACCTATTCTTTTTATTTTATTTGCTTTGTAAACCTATATTTTTTATATTAAACCGTTTGTGTTTGTTTTATTTCCAGCGAAAGCCAAAACAAAATAAACTTAAAATGAATATTTTCCCTCGTTTGAAATTACAGTTACGGCGTCAAAGTCAGTTTAATGCTCGCAAAAAGTTCCAGTATGCGATATTATGTGTACGTGCAATGGTACGAATCAAGAGACTGCGGTACACCATTGAACCACTGAGAATGGAAGATTCTCTCAAGGATCCATACCGTGTCAAAGTTCTTCGAAAGGTAATTATTATGTCAGCATTTTCCTGTGTTCGAATTTAATTTGTTTTTTTTTTTTTGAAATTTCATTCGACAGGTAATCGATGGCTGTGCATTCCGAGTGTATGGTCATTGGGTGAAGAAAGGTGAAGGTCAAAACCGTGCAGCCTTATTCGAAAATACACCTCGTACGGAACTTCACACATTGTACCTAGCCAATCTTAGCCGATAGAATACAGCCGTTTAACTGTACAATAGATTTTTTAACGACTGATCCTAGCGTGTATTGACTTTAATCATACTAAATTATTAACTAGAATATTGTCTGTGTTATGAATATGAGTTTTTTTGAAAAAAGAAACGAAACAATTCGTTTTGCAAATTTCCTGCAAAATTAGATAAGAATCAACTAGCCATGCTAGAACAAGTCATGTAACATTAGCGTAGATTAAAATCCATCTAAAATTGTTTCCGATTTTATTAGCACTGACATGAACAAAATCTTAATGTAACTTTGAAAACATTTTCGAAATGGAAATCGTTGAATTTATCGATCTAAATTCAAATGAGAAGAAAATATTCATTTATTTGACTGGCGCGATGTCGGAAATTGTTTAAAGACCAAAAAATTCAGTGAAAAGAAATACGAATCTAAGTTTAGTAAATTAACATAAGTTTTCAAATGACCCAATCAACAACATCAATTTGTAACTTTTGACAAAACTTTTTCGAACAAAACACTCACACACACTCGCATATATAATTTATTTCAAAGACTTGATAATTATTTATATTCCGATCTGCACGGGATATAAATGCTGAAGTCGATTTTTGTTGAACATTTAACTTTGTTATTTATATAGATAAATGAACCAATAAATGGAATTTATTTATGTTTTTTGAAACGAACTTCAATTTGTTTGAATATGCAATGCTGCAGTTGGATAAGAATTAATCTTATTTTAAATAAACAATTTAATATTATGACACATTTACAGGGCAATATTCAACTATAAGCTTCCAAATTCCAACATCTCTCACTTGCACGTGATATTTACTTTACTTTCAAATTGGTCAATAGTCGTGGATTAGTTCATTAATTATTTAATTAATTTTGCAAATGTATATGTACTTCATTAATCAATTTATTATTAAATGATAGAATTTTTTGTTAAACAACTTTAATTTTAAAATTTGATAACATATGTGTCGTCTACAACAAAGGGTGCAGTACAAACAGTAGATGAAATAGGAACTGCATATTAGCTACCATCTAGGCTACAGCGAAAAAGACAACATCGAGGTTACATAGAAAAATGCCTTTCGTTGGTAAAGAGCAGCACATGTGCAGCATATATAACTAGATAAATGTTTGAATAAGTTCTAAGTTTATAAATTAATAATCTGAAATCAAACGAAAATCTTGCAGTACAATGCAATCAGTACTTTTTTAATGAATTAATTATTTTTGTTTTATTATTGCGATGGTTTCTCTTTGTTTCGTCAATAATTTCGATAGAATGTCCTTCAGTCATATAAATTCCTATCAATTTAAGTTTAAAATGGCCTTTAGTGTTATTTAAATATACTATTGTTTTAATAATTGGCTTTTTATAGACAGAATAGTTTATATGTCCCACTTTTTAGCAATTCATTCAAAACACGAACGTTGATTTCGATCAAGAGTTCACTTAGCAACGCCTTGTATTATACATATTGTGTGTTGAAATGTAAAAGACCTTGACCGTGGTCATTTACTGTGCATTGCAGGTGATTGTCCTCCATATAAAATGATTTAATTAAAGTAACTACTAAGCCCAATAAATTTGCGTGCTACAACATAATCTGGTTAATTCAACATTTTTCGAAATGTGCTTAATATTTTTGCAGTATCGTAGTATAAACAATTAACAATTTAGCGTAAATGTAACGTTTTTTATCTATTTTAACGTTGAAAAATGTAACGTTTTCACCCATTTCGGTGGTAATTTTCGTGTCAATGGAAAGTTGATTATATGCATAGTTTCCAATAAAATTGTTCATTTATTACGTTAACATTTTACAATTTATTCACTTGTTTCTCCTATTAGTCTTTCAGTCTCATTCAAACTCACTCAAATGTGTTGCCGTTTTTGTTTGAATCTCAAAGCATACAACGGTATTGATACAATGCGCGATTTGCTGACTCTTACTCGTTTAAAGAATGAAAGTATGTGTAACATGAGATTCAAATGTTCGGTTTTGTTTACATAAAATTTATATCAACAATTCTATCGACTGTTTTCGCTGTTTGATTGCATTTTGTATCACTTATATTCATACATATGTCCAGCATCATTAAGAAGGCAAGGATCAGTTGAATATTGAACATCACACATCGACAAAATTACAGTGTATTGACAAAAATGTTTCAATACACAAAATCACAACGAAATATAATGAGTTGCCATTCAGATTTGTTTTCTTTTCAACTGAAGTACACACAAAGTTTGTATTCACATTTTTCAGTTTTCAACAGAATTAATGTAGCAAAGGAATTTTTTGTTCTTCGATTTAACATGTATCACAAACAAACAAATCACTCTATTCAATATTTAACGGGATTGATTTTTTTATAGCGGCCAAAACTATACTGAGAAGTGCCGCCAGTTTAGAAAGAGATGATTTTTGGTATACAACAACAACAATCTCATACGATTGCATTCTCCGTCGCCTAAAATTCAGTTGGACAAATTCAAAAAGTCAAATATCGCTACGAATACAGAGTTTGTGTGTGTGTGAGGGAAAGTGATATAAACAAATTCATTCGGTGTTTCGGTTTGAAACATGCAATATTGAACCGGTCGCGCATATAAACAATTGAAAGTTTTTACACACACAAATGCACAACAGAGAGAGTCACACATTCACAAGGATAATTATGTGGCCATTTTAGTGTCAAACGGAAAGTAGAGTATATCCATGATATTCATACGCACGAGTTTCTTTGTTCTTATTAGCGGTCAGAAAAATTGCGTTGTTGTTGTTTTTTTCAAACAAATTAAATTCAAAATGACAACCGATTTCAGTTTTCAACATGATAAAATAAGACAAATGGATTTTAGTGCTAATATTGTATCAGTGGCTTTTTTATGTCACAGCACAAAGAAACGAAACATGTGAGAGAGACAATATAATATGTGTTTGTGTTTTTGTTTTTCTGTAAACGAAATACTAGTGCGAATGCAACAAACTGTAGAATTTTGACCGTACAACAGTATTCCCGATCACCGCTTGTTTTTGTGATGTGCTTCGTCAGTGTTTTGATACAACGATATCGTGTGTTCACGAAATGTGATGGATATATTTGCGGAAATATTTTGTGTCTGTTTCTGTTTTCAATTCAAACGACAGAACATTTATAAAGTATTACTGTTAATATTCCAAATCATCGAAACACATTTGAAAAAAAAAAACCATTTCTCCAATTCTCTCGTTTGTGATTTGTTATGTTCCTGTTTAAAAATGCATTTTCGGCAGAGTTTTGTGGCAAATCAAAGTGGAGTGATTGAGTTGTTGAATGAAAATATTGTAAATTTGTTTGCATATATTGATGTATCAATAGAATCGTTTAATTCCAGTCATTTTAGTTTTCGAGGCTTGAATTTTTGCAATACAGCAATAATTTGCTATAAATAGCGGTGCATTTCTGCGTTCATTTTAGTTTAAAGTTACCGTTCGCGCTGTGAAGCTATTTGAAATACCATTAAATCTCATCATCACGTCAGAAAAATAACTTTAAATTGATAATAATAATTGAATTTCGTCAGGCAGTTTACAAGCAGAACCAACAAAAACACATTAAAAATTACAATTTGAATTGTGAAATTGATGCGAATTGATTGCAACCGAAAATAGTGATAACTATCCCATAATATTTGGAAAAGCACCAGAAATTGTGATTGATTGATTAAACCATGAGTAGAACAAGATCAAGAGAGGATCAATTTAATATGTAAGCATTGTTTTTCTTAATATTTATTCTGTGTTTTTTTTTTTCATTGGATTTTCGATGCAATTTCGCGATATTGTTTTGTGACCAGTTTTTTTTTAAATAAGTGTGTATGTTTTTCTTTGTTTTCGTTTCATTTATACAGTCCACCCGAAAGGAAAGACGACATTAAGAACCTTGTAGTCATAAAACAAGGCGTCAAGTCAAGCATACGGGAAGAATATCGCGACAGAGTGATTCAGTTTTTGGATCATCGAAGCTACAAAATGACACTGATTTCGTCACTGGCATCATTGTTGGCGTTGTACAAAATTCAAGAAGCCATCGATGATGGGAACCAACAATTTTTTGTACAAAACGGTAAAACATTTTTCATCGAGTGCTTTAACGGTGTTTTAGCCGATAAAGTCGACAGAGAGGAACTAATGCCGCCAGCTTTTCGTAACATTGTCGAGGCACACTTCGGTGTAGAGAATTTTGAATGGCCCGATAAAGAATGCCTGGGAAATGGTTTTAATTATTTCTACCAAGATCACATTCGAAATAATCAGACCAATCTCAACACTCATTGTTCAGAACATGTTGAATCGTTTTTTCAAATGAAACGCTGGTATTATAACATGAATATCAATGGCCATCAATACTATGGATCAAAATTTGACGGCATCGATATACGAAACGCAAAAGTTTACGCCACTAGTAACAAAGATCTGACACATGGTGATGTAGAGAGAACAAATAAGATGAACATTTTATTGTATGAACTGGAAAGAATCGGTTGATAACGAACAATCGACCGCCAAAAGTGAACAATTTCGCACTTGTCCCGTTATGCCGATTCCAACTGAAAAACGTTCGATTGGATATGACAGATATGTATTATTTGGCGAACACTGTACTAGGAGTGGTGCCAAGTTCTCGCAATCCGCTGACCAATCGAATGAACAAATACACACTGGACTATTACTTGTACGGCCATCGAGATGAATTGTGGAATTTGGTTTTCGACATGGATAAAATCAAACAAATCGGCAAGCAGAAGCGGTTTCACTCGCAAATCATCACCAATAGTGTTTGCGTATCAATATTGTACGAGAAGCCAGCGAAGGCTTGGGTGGAAAATTCGGAGCAGGCCACATTTAACAACATGACATATGCTAGTGCCATCGATCCGAACGAGAAAACGTGGGTGGCCGTTGTGCGCCGCCATATCAAGTCAAACATTGAGGTAAGTTAAGTTTGTTATTACAATGTTTTTTTTTTGGAACGTGATTGAAATTTGACGTTATTATTTAACAGGAAAACATTAAAATATCCAATCCACGATTTCATTGGCAAACCGAGCAGAAGAAGAGAGATCGGAAGGCTGATCGGTTGACCTGGTGGTTTGTTGAAGAAGAACAAATGGATTTCAAGTCGTACCCAGTGATACCATCGCCGCGTGGATCCACATGGAAAGCGTACATTCTGCATCGCATCAAAATGCAACGAATGGGAATGCAAGCATATGCGACTCGAAAATATGCACGATTGGATCTCGATCACCACATCAAGGCTACCAAAACAAGTGATAAAGTTGCCATGCGGGTAACGAACAACAAACCGTCTTGGATTTGGATTGGTGCTGGAGAAATGGCACCAAATCGGCCATGGGGCATAAAGAAGCGGAAAAGATGCCCAGGAACGCGTAAATTGGCGACCAGCTTCAAGAAACAAGAGCACACAAAGGTCAGTTTTCAAGATGAATGGGGTACATCAATAACGTGTGCCAATTGTCACGAGCGATTTCCAAGAGAAACCAAAAATCATCGATTCAAAATTTGTCGAAATTGCATACCAAAATCGATTGTTGGACTACCACCAATAATTGTGACGAATTTGAGCAGACAAGAGCTTAAGAAAGAGCGAATTGTAGAGAGAGCAATCAATCCAGATCGTGAGAACATCGAGCGTTTAGTGCCAAAGATAAAAGTTATCTTCAAAACTTGGTCATTAACTCGAGAATACCATGAATTGGATGATGCTGCACCAGAAGACATGATTGAGCACGTAGTCATTTGGCACCGTGACATTGTTGCCGCAAAGAATATTTTATTCAAAGGTATGTGCATAATTGTATATTGTATTAATATTAAATTGAGAATAGAGAGCAGAGCGTTTGGTGTTCAGTGTTCATATTAATTGATTAATGTTTTGTGTTTGTTTCTGATTTTATAGGAATGTGTCGTCTTTTTGGCATACCATTGCCCGATTCGTTGAAGAGACCTGACAATCCACACCATGCGAACAATGTCAACTGATAGCAGCATAAAATCAACAATAATCATAAGAAGAATATTTTAACAATTTTGTTAGTTACTAGGCGTGAATAGTTTAAATCCAAGGATTTCTATTGTACCCTTGACCGCAGTACGGGTCCCTATTTAGGGCTGTGCGGAATATAAAAGAACCCGTAGGTGAGTACTTTATTGAATTGATAGTTTAGTTTTGCATTCAATCTAACTGAATTGTTTTTTTCTTTTTTTTCCTTTCCATTTTGACGGTAAAATTGACTGAAACTACACACACATCCAACCCCAATATTGACCGTCAACATATGCCCGATAATGGATGAATTTGTGCCAACAATTGTTTGAATTTAACCTTTTGGCTTACCAAGTCTTGGGAAGTTGCAAAAATGGTTATTATTAGATAGTTTAGAAAAATGTTGATAAACCAACTTTTTCAAAAATTGAGAAATGGCCCAATGAAACCAATAGGAATAAATTTAGTTGTTGAATCAATTAACAAAAAAAGAAGAAGAAAAATGATAAACAGTTGAAATTGCATATAATTTAAAAGATTTATTTAAAATGATTATTATTATGTACAAAATGAATTTCCGAATAAAAATGCCATTAATAAATTAAAGGAATTTGACTTTTGATTATGACTTGTTAGCACTATTCATATTGAATTTGTTGATCCTTTGTTGAACCTGACTCAATTTCGAATTTGCATTTATATCGATTGTTTTATAGTTATTTGAACATTGAGAATCAGCTACACTCCTTCCATCACCTTCGTCACGAACTTCGTCACGTTTGGATAGATCTGAATATGGACTATTGCCCAGTTTCAATGGAGTTGACCTGGGAGAGAACAACAAGAGAAAAAAAGGAAATAATGGAAACATATAATGGAAATAATATGGAGAAATAATCGAAAGATAGCATACCCTGAAGTTGATTCTTTGTCATTGTCAATATTAATAGGTGTTTCATTGTCCTTTCCATTGAAATCGTTTTTTGATTGGCGATCACCATTACAATTATCGCTAGATGGTGCTGATGGAATCGTTCCATTTAAATTATTCAACCAGTTTGGTTTTGGCACCAATTTTTGCGTGGCATTTTTACACTGGCACATCACATCTGATGGATTATTACAAATATCACAACGATCCTGAACTGTTGTTTCACCAACATAAAGCGACAAATTTATGTCCGACACCGTTTCAGATGAGTTGACTTTCTTAATTGTATTAGTTTTTGTGTCATTTTCCTCGTAGTTTTTGCTAAGCAAGAGTTTCGATAGAGGTGGCGCCAGGCCCAAGTCCATATTTCGTTCATGATACACGTCCGAAATAGTTGGTGTCATTTCTCGGTTGATTTTTCTCAGTATCAAATCTTGAATATTTTTATTATGCGATGATAAGTTTGGTTTATTATTTTCTTTGGCGCTATTTGCTTTAAGTGTTAACGAAATATCTTTATGCTGTGATTCAATTACATCACTCTCCGATGGTGAAAAGTATAAATTGTTTGCATTGAATTTAAATGGTAGTGTTGTTTCACAATCATCAGAGATTTGTTTACGCGCAGCTGCCATTGGTACAACATTCGTTGTATTTTCCGTTCGAACGCTCAAACGATCCATCAGAAGACATTCTTCGGAAATGTTACGGGTCAAATGTGATGGGTATTGTATTGGTTTTTGAATATTATTACGATCACCTCTGGCCTCATAGGTGCGTTCAAATTCCGAATCAGAACTAGTGGATTCGATAGCATTATTGTTTCCTTTGGTATTGCCATTCAAATTATTGAAGATCGATGGTACTTGTGGTCGTAAACTCTCCACTAATGGCAACATTTGCCGTGGCGGCGGCATTGGTGGTAGACCATTCGCTTGATTCTGTTGTGCTCGACGCAGAACTGTCGCATGACCAGAACCTTCCCAGTCATTTGTTGAACTTGTTGAACTCGAACTATCATCGGGACGTTGTGAAGATACATGAGAATCATTCGATTGATTATTGATTGTACTTGCTGAATACAAATTTCTTATTCTTGTTTGATGTGCCAATGCCATTGAAACGTTATTATCAACATGTTGTAATGCAATCGGTGGACTGGGTGTAAATGCCAAATCACCATAATTTTCACCGCCGCCAGGCCTTGCACATACTTTGATCGGTGCTCTTAGATTTGTATAGTTAATTTTTGGTTTTGCTTCGAAACGATTTACACCTTGTGTTGAATATCCATCAGAAATGTCACTGTCAGTATTGTTCAATTCGATGTTGGTAAGTATCGATGAAGCGTTTGTCTCTCGGCCCCCATCCGGTTCGCCTCTCTTACGAACGTATGAAGTGAATGCACTAGCACTGCCCATCAATGGACGATGCGGAATCATTGGCCTTGACATTTTCAGATTCAACGATTTCACTGTTCCGACTGGTGAAATACTTCGTTGTTGGCTGCTGGTTGTTGTGCCTGCTATTGGACTCATTGTATTCTCTTGACGTGATTCATCATTCAGTGATTCACAACTACTACTCGAATCGATGCCAATACTTTTTGGTGCCTCCTGTGTGTCAAAAAGCGCGAGCAGAGCTTGTAAAACAAATTGACAATTGCGACGATTGGCTTGTTTTCCTGTTCGCAAAGTCACTTGATCCTGACCAACTTCCATTAGATCAAAACTCAAGGAAGCCAACAATTCATGACAACCGGATACACGCCACAAACGTACACTCAATGGCACATCGATGCTAGTATCTAGTTCTGGATTACACTTTGGCGGATATTGCGATAAAACATTTACAACATTTCGCATAACTCCAATAATTTCATCAGCTATATCGGCATTGTTTACCAGTACAAGTTTTGAAAGAGCATGAAGTGTTGACGGCGATAGAGCAAGAAGAGCTTGTAGACTGGCGGAACATTGAGAAAGACGTTCGTCTGGGTTGGTTTGCGGAAAAAATACACTGCTTGGTATCCCATTCGCAGATGGCTCAAATCTGCCAGAAAATTTAGTTGACACATTAAAAAAAAATGATTTAAATTAATATGAATAATATGTATACCTAAATCCAACAGCCATAAGCAATTCTTTCCAACCATCAGCAATGCCACATTTATTCTCAATACTTTTCTGCGTCGTATACATTGCATTTTTTTGTCCTCTGTGAATTCGTTGCAAACTCTTCTCAACCTAGTTATCAAGCATAAAAAAATATGAATTAAACGTGTAATGCCAATAATATCATAATTACAATCTTTACCAAATGCAAACAAACTCGAAGAGCATCACGACATTTTTCGGGAGTTTTTACTAATTCGCATAAAGCTTGTCCAATCAATGCAATTTTATTTGAAATTCGGACATTTCCTCCAATCAGTAGAAATCCAGCCCAATTGGACGGATGGGCGAAGTGCTTTGTATGTTGTACTGTTTGCATGGCTTCAGCCAATGCTCTAAAAATAGAGATAAATATTGGTTAGCTTAAAAAATCTAATTGCATTTATATAACTTTTAAATATTTATACCTCGCTGCTCTGGCTCCTTGTAGTAAAGCCGAATAAAATGCACGAAGTAAAATCTTGGTTGCTGTTTCTGGCACAGGCCAAAGTGACAGCAAAATGGCTCCTGCACCTGCACGCAACCAACTATCTGATAAATTCGCAACGCCATTGCTATTAATTGGATCAAGTGAATTATGAGCGCTCAAAACAACCAACTTAGCATTAAGTTTAACATTATTAATGTCATCCACTGTTAGCACGAAATCATTTATATTGAATGATGGATTATCATTTATATTGTTATTTCCTGTCATTTCATTTCCTTCATCTTCGGTATCAATTTCGTTGTTAGTTCCACCGTTATCTTTATTATTACCACCTGAATAGAAACGTTTGTGAGACGAAGAATCCAACATATCGCCCCCGGGATTTAATACTATTCCAGACATTTTCCAACTTAGGGCCGCCGCAAAGTGTACACATTCTGCTGTTGATAGTTCGGCCAATACATTGTTTTTGGTTGCATTTGAAGCGACTAATGTTTTTGCTTGAAGCATATCCGAAACCATTGCTGCTTCTTGTAAATTGGCTGATGATTCTGTCCATGTTGATTCAGTCAATGGTAGTCGGGGACCAACGACCAATGGAACGCTGGTAGTTCCGTTCGTTGGCTGATTGCGCTTAACTCGACTCTTTTGACGCAATGTAAATAGAGACGGAACTGTCAGTAGTGAACATCGTTCCGACAAATATTCAGCTCCATCTTGACCACGCAACACAGCAAATGGAATAAGATACAATTCATTTTCCAACACCAAAATCATCTCTTTGTACCCAGTTCGATGGGCTAAAATGAATAAAATAATCATTAAAAATCTTAAAATAGATTTTTATATAATTTTGGCATACTTGATGAACTGCTTGGCAATAAATCTTCAAATGGTGCTAGTAGTAAACTATATAAAGCGTGTAATGAACTTGGACCTTGCCATTGTGGCAAAGGAAAAGCTCGACGTGATCTGGTCGACCCTTGAAGGCTGCTAATTGATCTAAATGAAATGGAAAAGTTGTTCATGTTTTATTAGATTTAGAAATTACATATGAATGTAATTTACCTTGTCGATCCTTGTAAGCTGCTTGCAACAGATCCTCCCACGCTGCCCAAGCTGAATAATGAACTCAATGAGTAATTGCTGGAGTTCAATAAATGATTTCGGTTAACCATTCTTAAAAAGGGTCCAGCACGTTCACTCGCAAAGTCGTCCAACAAATTTTCAGATGATCTCCATTCATTTTCTTGTTGATTTTCTGAATTAATGCCCAAATCATCACGCACCATTGAAATGTAACTTTCCAATAGCTCACGTTTATTTAGCGACTTTATGAATTCCTCCGTTTGACCACGAAGTGGAAAATTTATTTCATTCACCTCAATCGCGTTAAAGCGAATAATTTGCCGATCTCTCAAGAACCATGTGTACAATTCATCATCGGCCAAACTAAAGTAGATAACATTCGTTTTCGTTTTATTGACTACATCAAAAATGCTTTCGCTGCAAGTGACAAGAGTTTTTCTGGAGTTGCTTGTATCGAGTGCTACGCGCGATTTACAGCGCTCAGCGGCAACCAAAGCTTCTTCATTTTTACCCATATGTACCAGAATCTTTTGTAACAAGTGATAACATTTTGTTTGTAAACAAAACAATTGTTGTTTGAGTTCAGGAGATCGTTGTTCAAACCTAACAGATTCGAGAATTTGTGCGGCCGTTTCAAAATTTGCACGAGCATTTTCATTGTCACCCGAATCAATTAATACCAAACCAAGGCGATGCCTTATTTTCGCTTCTTCTTCGGATTTATTCAGCGATTGTGATATGACAAGGCCTTGGCGAAGAAAATTTATTGCTTGTGATGTTTCGCCAATCGTATGAAATACTCTGCCCAATGATTCACATGCATAAACCTTTGTTAAGCGATCGAAAGCCAGTTGAAGCTGTTTTTCAAATTGCCGTATGGCTTCGTTGAAATTATTCAATTTTTCATAAACGGCACCCAAATTTCCATAGCATCGTGATTGCAAACTGGCATTTCCAAGACTTTCACACAGTTCCTGGTCCATTAAATGAAGTTTCTTTGCACTCTCCAAATCGTTCATTTGAAGAAATACCTGGCCTAAACTACTTTGTGCATCTGAAACTGCATAGCGATCACCCAGCTCTTGAGCAATATTTCGTTGATGTTCCTTGAATAGTAATTTTATTTTTTTATTACAATGTTCAAACACTAACTAGAAATATAATAGGTCTCACCAGACATTGTACGGCGTGCTCGTAATTTTTTAATGCACTGTGAATGTTACCTGAATTGGACCAAAAAATGGTTGAGATTAGCTTAGTGTTTTTGCTTTTTTTTTTATTTATCAAAATAAATACCCAGATCTCCAAAAGCAGCCGCCTTCGCTTCATTTCCAAGTTCATGTGCCACAACAAGTCTCTTTTCTGAATAAACCAGTGCTTCTTGTAAATTTCCAATCGATTTATGGCTATGGCATAGGCCATTATAAGCTCGTTCTTGATCCCGTAGACTTTGCAAAGCAATGGCTAGCTTTAGGTGCCGCTCATGGCATTTGATACCTTCTTCAAAATCGTTAAGTGCATCGTAACAATCAGCTAAATGACCTAAAGCACGTGCACGATCAAGCTGTGCAGTTGCGGAATTTACTCGTTCCAATGTTCCCAATTGCATTTCCAAATACCCAATTGCATTTTCATAATGACCACTAAGAAATTGAATTTCATCGATGAAATTGAATATCTTGAACAAATTACAAATCAAAATAATATTTCAAATAAAACTTGATTCATACCTATTTAATTTGGCGATTCCTGAGAAAAGAAGCGTGACAAAAAGAAAAAAAATTAGATAATATTATTATTGCATTTATTTTTTGAATCATTACCCAAATTCCCGAAAGCTTCTGCTTCTAAAGGTGAATCTTGTAAGTCTTGTGCTCGTTCCAACTGCTCCTGATAGCACTTTATAGCATGCGTATAATTTTGTAAAGCCTAAATGTCGTACAAATGACATAATACATTTACCAATGATGGACGCAAAGCAAATAGAAAAAAATAGCTTACCATATGAACAGCACCAAGGTGGGACAATGCGCGACATTCACCTACAAAGCGAAACCGTTGTTTTTCGTTAAGCAAAAATAAAAAATATTGTTATTTTGAAGAAAGTAAAAATTACCCAGCATATCACAAATCTCTTGTCGCAGGGTCAATTCCTGTGTATGATAGCAAAGTGCTTTATCGAATTTTTTCATCAAACGAAATGCTAAGCCGAGTGCGCCATAGGATGTGGCCTCCATTGCTCTCTCCCTATATTGTCGAGCGAGCGTTAATTGTCTCTGATACATTTTGGCTGCCTCTTCAATTTCACCGCTTCGGATTAAAACGTCACCAATGTTACCTATTAACATTTAGGTATAATTTAATTTCATTCATTTCTCTCAATTCACCAACGATTTCTTTGTTGGGAAATTACCTAATGCCCTAAACTTTCCAGGCAGATGATTTGTCATATGAGCGATGGCTAAAAAATATTTTTGGCATTCCAGTGCTGCGCTTGTATTATTTAATCCCAAATGAGCCAAGCCCAAATTACAATATGCTCTTCCCATATTCATCTTATCTTGTAAGTCTTTGGCCAACGCCAAATCTTGATCATAATATCGAACGGCTTCACGGTAATTTGAAATGCAATAATGTGCATATCCTAAGAAGTGACATGCTTTTCCTTCAGCCACAATATCACCAAGCTCTTGTGAAAGCATTAAATACTGTTCATAATAAGGAATGGCTTTCACAAATTCTTGACGTGAGCTCAAACAATTTCCCAGATTCAATAAAGCGCACGCTTCACCCGCCGTGTCCTTCAATTCTCTTGCGATATTCAAATGGGCTTGGTAGTGTATCAGTGCCATATCATAAGCGCCCAAAGCCTAGAAACATTAAAAAAGAAAACAATTGCAATTAAAATAAAAAAGACGACATGAAATAAAAACGTGTTTTATATTACTTGATATGCGACCGCTAGATTTCCGTGCGTGGAAGCCTCAGCACTTCTATCACGCACTTCCTTGCTAATGGTTAATTCTTGTTTATGGTATTTAATTGCTGCTTCGTACAGCCCTGCTGCTGAATATGCATTACCTTTCATTTGTAAATGTGTAGGTGTAGGTAAATTAATAAAGTAAATTATTAATATTGAAATGGAATTGAACAAAATAGTGGTTTGTCTTACCCATATTGCCAAAGGCTCGTCCCATGCCCGCTTTATCCGAAAGTGTACGAGAAATTGTTAGGTGTGCTTGATGTAATTTCAATGCACCATCGTAATCACCAATCAATTGATATACAATTCCCAGATTGCTGCATGCTCGACCTTCTCCAATTTTATCTCGAGCAGACAAGGCCATTTCAAGTTGTTTTTCGTGAAATTTTTTTGCTTGTGTAAAATCATTTGCACAACGTGCAGCATGTCCTAGACCGGCATATGCTCTCGCCTCAATAGATTTATCTCCTAAATTTTGTGCTATTCTCAGAACTTGCCTAGGGTTAATCACAAAGAAAAGAATGGAAATAATGGAAATTAATCAATATGTAATGGAACGTAATGGAAGTAATGGAAACATATAATGAAAATCAAATATGTATAGTTTAAGAGCAAAGTAATCGTCACACATTTGCAACAACATTGCTTAAATTTGAGATTTGGTAGTAGTGTTGAGAATCGCGTTCTGTTGTGGAAGAACAGAACTACAACTACTACCAAATCTCAATTTTTGTCAGAAAAGTGTTTGCTAACGCAGCTTCGTTCAATTCATTTGCAAATTGTTTTTAATTTATGTGTGTATATGTGTGATCAAACCCTTACTACTTTCTTACATACTAAATAGATTTTGATATTGTGATTTTTTGAAATGGATGTAATGGGAAAATAATCGAAAGGACTTGCTCATGAAAAATGATTGCTTGTGAAAAATTTCGACGATAATGATGACTTGATCCTAAATTTGAGTAGGCACGCGCTTCTTCCACTGGATTATTGAGTTTCCGTGCCAATCGAAGATGTTTCGTATGACATTCAACGGCACTATCAAAGTCGCCCATTGCCAAATACACGGCACCGACATTACCTAAAATAATCATTACAATAAAAGCAATTATAAAAGTAATTATAGATCTGGCCACACAAATATTACCAATTTCACGGGCCTCTTGAAGTCGATCTCCAATTTGCTTTACTAGTTGAACACACTGTTTGTGGCTTGCCAACGCATTTGAATAGTCCCCAATCGCTGTATATACATGACCTGAATAACGAGGTTGAAACAAAATATATAGTTCATTACAAATTACATATATTTCAATGCACTTTGGCTATTTTCTGTACCTAATGATGTTAGTGCAGATGCTGCTGCCTCTGAATCTTTGAATTTCATGGCGAGAACAAGTTGATAGCGATGAGATGTTAATGCCTCTTTGTATGAACCTTTGCTAAAAAAGTACTTTCCCAAATTGCCGTGAGCTCTCCCTTCTCCCTGCGAATCACCTGATTTTTGGTGAAGAGCGAAAATACCAATTTTTAACATCACGTTAAGATATCTTAATTTGAGTGTAAAAGGAAAAAAAAAACATACCCAAACTTTTGGCAACAGCCAAGTCTTGTTGCATGTAAGCTATTGCCTTATCAAGTTGATTAAGCGCCCAGTAAGCTGAACTCAATGCACTAAACACCGATCCTCTCAGTTTCAGTGAACATGTTCCGATTCGCAATGCTGATTCCAGAACAGTGACAGCTGAGTGATATTGGCCCACCTGTAGCAATTCTTGGCCAATTACCGAAATAACGACGAAATTGTTCATTGCACATAATTTGGATAGTTGATGAAAAGTCGGTTCGAGAGCAGCGCGTAATGGACTTTTAATTGATGCTTCAATCAAACCACTCAACAACTGTTTGCTATTCGAATCTTGAGCCAAACCAGCACTGAACGCTGCCAGTGCTTCACCATACCTTCGCAGGCATTGCAGAGCTACGCCTTGTCGGAAATAGGCTTTACCCCATTGTGGACACAGTTCTTTAGCTTTGTTAGCATCCTGCAATGCCAATGAAAATTGACCTTGTTTTAAACGTGCCGCTGAACGATTACTGTATAAGATATAATTTGTTGGATCGAGTGTTAATGCGTCGGTGTATAATGCGACGGCTGTAGCGAAGTCTCCATTTTGGCAAGCTGCATTTGATTGACGCACCTTTTCCAGAAAGAGAGCTCTATTTGCAACGGAGACATGTAATTGCAATTCCGGGGTACAGTCTGTATCATTCTAAAAACAAACGTAAACAAAACAAATTAGATATGATTTTCGATTCTCACGATTCTATTTCAAACGAAAATGTGAGAATATTCTTATTTACAAAATTGCATTTTTGGATCGGTCATATACCGGTGAATAGAATCAATAATTCAATAGAAAAAGCTATGCAGATGCAACAAATATCAATGCATTGCTTCTGGCGATAATTTTGTTTCAACTCTGATATGTTTCTCATCATATGAAGCACTACTTTTTAATCGTGTAAAGTGTAAATTTATCTTTCAAAGCAGAAAGGAGAATAAAATGTAAAGAGTTTCCATAAAATATTTTTTTTATGTACGGCTATAGTAGACTTTGGATTGAGCTAGTTGTTCAGTTGTTGTTATTGATAATTGATGTTCACCTGTACACATTTTTTATCTTTAACAATACAAACAAGTAAACGGTTATTATTTGGCTTATGTTCAGGGGAGCAACTGACCAATTAGCTTGAATAAAAGCCTGATAAATCCTACTAATATCTACTGGATCGTGGTCATGAATTTTTTTTATACATAAAAAGTTAAATTAAAACAAACCGAGATAAGATAAAGTTTGATAAAGTACTAACATCATGCAATGTTTTCGTTTACACATGAGATAATAGCTTATTTGTTGGAATAGCTGGAGAACTGATTAATTTGTTTCGTGCTAAACGAAATGGAGTTCGATTATAAATGTGCTGTGTGAACGTTTTTTTCTTTTTCAAAACATCCATCATTCAATCCAATTGTCAAAATGAACAGAATTCATTACAACAAGTACAACAAAATAAAAATGCGAATCCCCAATGAAGTAGAAATTGTGAATTCTTAGGAATACTTTGAAGAAGTGGAATTCCATTTGAACCTCAACAAAAGAATGTAATCATTTAGTGTATTTTTTTTTTTAAATGTTCGCTTGCTCTTTTGTTGAATTTGCAACTCCTTTAGAAACTATACTCACTCTGAAAAAGAGAGAGAGAGAGAGAGAGAGAGAGAGAGAGAGAGAGAGAGAGCAAGAATAGGTGGAGAGAGGAGAAGAAGAAAAATAGAAGCGAGTGAGAGGTACTTTTTGCTTGTGTGGTGGCATAGCATTGTAATTAGATATTCGGAATCGTTTATTTATTGTTTATCTGCAACGCGCATATTAGAGTCTGTCGGTGAGATTATTCAATTTCTATTAACAGGCTTTGGGTTGGTTGTGTGTTGTGGTTTAAGCTGAAGTGCATTTTGGACGATTTAAGGAAAGGCAATGAAGAGATACGAAAACATACATCGTGCAAAAATGTTGGTAGATTCATATGTTGTGTTTTGTTTTGTTAAACGCTTTTGAACTCACAGTTTCAAACCGTCAATTGCTCGTTGTGCGTCACGATTACACAATCATTTACAGTACTCTATAAATATAAATGCCTTTGTTTTTGCTGTTGCTGCTTTTTTTCATTTCATTCCTCTCTTCCAATGACGATTGAATCATAATAAAAATCAAAATAAAACGTGGGATAACAGTCGTCCACAGATTCATAACATATTATTTTCGCCATAATTCATGAATCTTTCAGACGGTGATAAAACAACGAAGTAAAACACAAACACTCCCATTAAAATGTATGGAATAAGTTCGATTAAATGATCCGTGACCTCAGGACTAAATTAAATTATATAATATAACTTATATTGGTGGTGGTTAGTTGATTCTAAATTGATGTTTTGCTGTCATAATGGGTGTTTCGAATTTTCACTTACCTCTGAAAAATCTCGTTGTGACATGTTGGTCCATAAAAACGGAATTTACTTTGATAATTTTAAATTCTGATGGAAGTCTGTAATAAAGTTTAAAATAATATTGATTATTATGAGACACTATTAAATCTTTATATATATTTTAACGTAATTTGAAAGTTCCAATAATTCAACTATATTTTAAAATCTAAAAACAAATACTTCAATGCTTCACAATTATGATATCAATATTTATTTATTAGGTCTACAGCAGTAGTGTGCGGAGGAGGATTCCTGTGATTTAGATGAGAAAAAATTTTCACGGAAATTATTCGATTTTTTTTTATTCAAAAAGTGAAGAGGAAAATCGGTTACATTGAATCGATGCCACATGCCAATTATTCAGCAATTAATTCATAAATATTTTTACGCATTTGAGCTGAAATTTATGACATCGAAAAAAAATCGAAAAAGAGCTCAATGGAATGTAAGTCTGCTATGAAAAATAGGACATTTTTACCGCTTTTCTAAATTATCTGTTATTTATGTTGGCCACAAGATGTGCATTGGATGTATATTTTATCCGCATAACGTTCACAACTGTGAACCACTCTTAATGAATTGTCTATAAAACTAATAAGTGTCAAATTCGAAATGTCTAATAATGTGTCACTGTCAACGTCATTGTGAAATACATGTGAAATAAAGTGAGTTACTTCTGTTCAAAGAGAATTTACTTTTCCGATTTCATTCCATCACGTTCTGAGTGTGACATTCATAAATTAATTCTCAATATCAACATAGGAATTCTATTAATTTTAATTTTGTTCTGGAAAACACGGGAGCACAAAGCTTGAAGGCACAACTTCCAACATTTTTGAACATCAATTTTGACAAGTTTTAGTTCTATACAGGTACATTCATAAAGAAAATTTCAACGAAATCGTTTAAGATAAGAAAGATTACATTATCATATCAATTTCAAGCGTTTAACTTGAGACGGTTTTTATGGTTTTGATTTTAGGTCATTCCAGTCTGTATTTATGATAAAAATCATCTCCATAATGAGTGAGCAGATGGTCAAGAATCAAAACGACACCGACGTCGATAAGTCACATCAACAACATGACACCGACTCCAAAGTGACTGATACACCGCATCAAATTGCTGTTGCTTTAGACGCAATTTCCCTAGGCTCTAACGAATGTCAGATTCGTTCGCCAATTTTCAAGCTGATCAACGATTGTTGGGAATTAATCTTTGATTGGTTATCGCTGAAAGAATTGCATTCGTTTGGTCGAACGTGTAAACATTTCCAACGACTAACTGGCGAATATTTCAAGTGGAAATATCAAAACGTAAATTGTAGTCTGAACAATCACAACTATAGAAACGTAGATTGTGGTGTGAACGATAGCAATGTGAGCTTTGAGTACATTGCTGGGAACGAATTGGTTGGTTTTATTCCATTCATCCAAAAATTGTCTTTGGGCAACCTCAAACTGGACGCATCATTCCGTTACGTTGTAGAAAATATCAAATCAATAAAATCCATGGAAATTTTGAATGCTCGTTTTTTAGACCTCGATCTTAAACTGATGAAGAACAGTCTGAGTAGCGTTGAAGTGGTGAAATTTGTTAATACATATAATCTTGATGGTACATTTTTCGAAACATTTCTTAAATTATGCGTGAAACTAAAGCGTTTAACAATCGATACAAATGCAGGGAATACTTGGTTACTCCATAAATATCCGACATTACAATATTTGAAACTAACTCATTGTGATACATTGGTTAATGGTGAACTGACAACATTTTTTCAACAAAATTCGAATGTACGTAGTTTTTCGACAACCGAAAAAATCCTTATGCAACATCGTGACTCATTTATTGCAAATAACATTGAATTGGATGACCTGACAATTTTGCTGGTGGATGATATGAATGAATTTTGTGTTGTGATGAACGATCTGTATCGACGGGGTGTTTATAAACGTTTACACTTGAAAACGGCGACGACAGAATGTTTGGAAAATTTACCGGGACTTGTAACATTGCATGTTGATACAAATGATTACGTGGAAATGCCAAAATTGGATGGTGTGACGGAACTTGTGTTCCAACCACACTATAATGGACCGGTTTGTAGGATGAATATGGAGGAAGTATCAATGAACTTGAAAAATCTCGAACGAATTTTTACACCAACAACAAATGAAGAGTATATGAGTGCATTTATCCGGAATTCGGCAAAGCTGAAGGAAATTAAAACGGATAGCATTAGTCCTCACGGTAGTCACGGAAGATTACCGAACGGCGGTATTAACGTGGTAGCCATGAACAATGAACGGAAAAAATTGAATGGCGCGCATAAGGTTACGATCTATCTTGAGGAGAAAGATTATTTGGCGAAAGATCATGAGGAGAGAGATTATTTGTCTATTAAATGGAATCATAATAAAACAGATTTTGGATTGATTGAGGTGAAACGCAAAGAATCGTATGAGGGTGTTTGGGATCACACATTTGGATATTATTAAGAGAGGAAGTTTGTTTACAACAAAGTTTTTTTTATTGTTATTTATATTGAATATGAAGACAAATAGAATGAAATAAAATAAAAGAAAACTTTTATATGGATCCGTTTGAAGCAGAAAAATCACTTTCAAGCGAAATTAAAAAAAAAACAACAACCCTAATACTAAAACTACGAAAAGAACAGTAAATGTCATGACTATTATTAGTATTAATTGGTTAAATAAAGTATATATTGTGCTGAGAAAATGCTAGCAAAAATCACAATTACAATTTCACATAAAAGTTACATAGTAAATGTTATTGGAAATAGAAAAATGGAAATTTCCATTAAATAACGTTTTACAGTTTCAATTAAAACTATACATCATTTCGGATTTTAAAAAATGTCTCAACTTTATTTATGAATTTGAAATAAACAGGTTCAATGAATTAAATTACTTTCTGTCTTTATCGTTTCTATACTTATAAATCATAGTATGTGTGCGACACCCATGTCGATGCTCTTGAATAAATTTTACAAATTTTCTGTTTTTGCTTGCCACAAGTGGCATGCACAATTGCACATTATCACAAAAATTATAACAATAAATATTTACATTTATATTCGGTTTTTTTTAAAATCTTGTAATTCTTTCCAGTGCCTTTTCGTGAAATCTTTATTAGAATTCTCCGCAGTGATTGAACTTGGAAATTTTTGGCATTTTAATCCCATAATACAATTGTACTTGATACTGTGGTTCGGCCATCATCAAACATCCAACGAATTGCTTATTGACAAGCCAAGCACGGAAACAACGTTCGATGTGCGGACAATTGTACAGTTCATCGAAACCAAATAGTTTGAAGCAAATCGCATGCGGTGCAACAATTCGATATTCACCCGCACAGTCACAGTACAAACGATTCGAAATCAAAAAAAATTTACCGCTCGCACACGATGAAGGCCATCATCATTTTTCACCAAATAGGTTTCATCGATGACAATGATTTGATTTAGTTGTGACGAATTTCAAAAAACAAATTGATCGATTTATTTGCTGTCAATGTGGTCCACCCTAAGATCACCCAATAGAGACAAATAAACAAAATCAAAATGTGCTAAACAATTGAATGTCGTACGACGATGATTACAAACCTTCATTCGGTGCAAAAACATTTAATTGTTGTTAGAAATATAATTGAAATTGAATTGAGTTTATTGCGATGATTTTATTGTGTTCAAAATGCGAATGAAAACAGTTTTGTGCATAAACATATCGATAAATGATCAACATAAAAAAAATTGAGAGTGCAACTCCTCATTTTTTGTTATTTGCACCATGTTCCCTTTTATATTGTTTGCATCTTTGTTCTGTCACTTATTCTGGCATTCAAGCGCATTCACAATACACACAATACACATAATGACACAATGCAATGTGTAACTCGAAAGATCAAAGCTTATCATAAATATTTTGTTTTGGTTTGGAATATTTTAACATAGTCGCATGCATATAGATGTCGAAGAAAAATACTTTTTCTAGCGCTTGCTTGCGTTTGCCTTATCTCATGTCTTACTTTTGTTCGATCTTTTGTCAATGAGATTTACCATCATATATTTTCATTTTCATTTCATTTGCATCGAATGGTGACAATGTACATTTTGAGGATGTGAACACGAAAGCAAAGCGCACGTTAAAACGGTATGCAGGATTTGCTTATATTTGCTTATATTTGCTGGTTCAACAAACAATGTCATTATTTATAGTTTCATTTTAGTTGAATGCATTTCCTTCGTCAGCCAATTCAAGCGACAAACATCACAATTTTGAACCGCTGCAATGTCGTACGCGGAGCAGAAGCGAAAGAACCACAAGGAAAAGAAAACAAGCAAATAGGAGTACAATCACAGACCATGAAAAAAAAAGAGAGTATAGCAAATGCGCAAACGATGAAAAAAGTCAATTCGCCACCAAATCGATGTGAATCGATAGCAATTTTCAATGTTTTTTATTCGTTTCATTCTTGATCTCATTCAGCTGTGGCGAACAAGAGCCGGGCCACGCCACACAATTATAGTGTGGATTAAAATTTACAATCGCAAAGAAAATCAATAAATTTTGTACAAAGATAAAGTAAGAGTTCGCGTGAACAACAAACCGATCAGTAAGAGGATCGTAAAATAAAGAAAAAGTGCGCAGAAAAAAAGAGATGCGAAAACAAATTTAATTTTGTTAGTAATAAAGAATATACAACTAATAATATATGTGTATTGTGTACAAGTACAATGTATAGAATTCGCACAACAAACGTATTTAGCAATCAAAATAATGGATCGAAAAGTGATACCAAAATACCGGGCAATTGCGCACGGTTCATATATTCATTGCAAATGCATGGCATCAACGAAGATCATTCAAGAACGAAAGCAGCAAAAGAACATGGAAAATCGCAATAGCAATGAATAAACGCGAAAATAATTATATTTAATAACATGAAAGCAGCGCGCTCAGCAAAATTTCTGTCTTTATCGCTCCCTCGCTCCGCACTTATTTTTTCTTACTTTGAAATTATTCCAACAACATATTTAATCATTTCATTTTTCGTTCTCATCGTATGAATATTCTTTAATTTTTATTTATTTTGTGTGTATGTTGAACTTCTCTCTCTCTGTTTCTATCTCCTAACTGACTCATTGTGCACGTTTGTAAGGGAACGATTTGATCTAAGCCATTTGCGCTGACGATACAGCATTTTATAGAAAAGCATCGGAATGTTCATTATTAAGTGATCGAACTATTTTCATTATGCACTACACATGCCAAACATGAGCTCTGGTATGCGTAAATACATCAGTTACCATTTCCATGATTCAACACAACAGCACAACAGAGAGGAAAAATACTGTCGAGAAATAAGGAAAATAGCTAATTTAATGAAAGATGAATCTCATCGCAGACTCAATCTTCAAATAAATGCTAAGTCATTTTTTCCTATATTTAAGATATGCATATACAGGCACGTTAACGCTCTATCTCTCTCTTGTATACTTAGAGGAGATACGGCAATGATTGGTTTATGTTTGCCGATGATCAAATACAGTCGTTAAATCCAACATTTCAAAATATCGACGCTTTCGAATTAATGGCTTATGTTTTTAATTGAAGTCTATTTTTACGATTGAATGTTAATAATTTTTTGTTAACTCTTAATCCATGCCCATTGCGGCCCATCATTTTGAACAAGCAAATAAAATGATCGACAATCTATCGATATGAATAATGTTTTCAAAGAAACAACTTATTTTTTTATTGAGCGCATTTTTCTGCGTTAAAATTTTGTAGAAAATGATCCATTTCGTTTTATAAGTATTTCATTTGTAATATGGTTTGGTGAGTATCCAACTAAAACCTAGGCTTAAAGCCACTCACCATGAGGCAATTCAACATGATAAATTGATCATATGATGATCATCAATGTTCGGAAGTTTGCCGAAATTATTAACAGATTTTCACACGCTTGTAAGAGCCATATGCTCTTATTGATTTAAAACAGTATGTATCAATACATAGTAGAAAGATTTGGGATAAAAAATATAAAATAAAATCGAGAAAACGCCAGCTTAAAAAAAAAACGATTAAAAAAGCATTCAAAATCAGATCTTCATATCGATCGTATGCGAGCAATGAACATTATCCTCGCATAAAAATGTTCAACAACCAGTCTGAGTTTGAACAAATCCGTGATTTTTGCTTCACGTTTAATGAGTACTTTCCTCCCAATAAATTCGATCTGCATTGAATGTGCAACCACATATGCAATTGGCATCAGTGTAAAAATAGTTTCTCACACAGTTACACCCGTGAAAAAACGTATAAATACGATTCCTTTCTCCCTCTTTCTTTCCTTTCAACTCTTGAAAAGTTTGCCACATACAAAAAACAGATGAACGTATCCAAAAGAAAAAGACAAAATGCGGGAAGAAGATTAAAAAAAGCAATGCAGTTGCGTGTGTGCATTCGTTTGGAGTCGAAAAAGATGGAGAAAATGTTAATTTTTATTTTACCGCGATTATTTTTTATCCTTCTCCTTCTCCTTCTCTCAATCTTTTCATATCACATTTTTCGTTGAGCTGTGAAACATTACAGAGAAAAGAATGAGCGAGCATAGCAATGCAAATTATAATTTGAGGTCAAAGTGTATAAACGTTTAAATAACATCGGACAGATTGCTCATGTTGATTATGCGGTTTGGCGGTTTTTGGTTCAGTTCAACATTTTCCATCGTGCTTCTCTTATAAAGAATTATCTTTATGTGTTTGTATGGTAAAAGGCACTGATATTCGTCAATCGTAATTTATTGTTCACGTTTCACCAAATTTGGCAAGTTTTGTGTGTGCGTCCGTCTGTTGAAATCCCCAATTCGCTTGAAATTTAATACTTCTTTGAGTACGGTTAATATACAATGTTGCGTGGATTATAGGTAAGCTGACTCATCTTCGAATGCAAGATCCATTAAATTGGATTGAATTTGGAAAGTAAAGAATATGTTGCTGTAATTAACATATCATTGGAATGATACAATTACAAAATACAAACTCCAAATATAATTGATTACCAAATGACACCAAATGGCTTGTCATATGCATTGAGAGAGAAGTAATTTTATTTTGGGAAGATGGAAGTCTTTCTATAATTTGAGCAATCACAGGAGTAAAACATGTACAACATTGATGTTATTTGGTCATACCCCAATTAAAATGGCATTAAATTGAATCACAGTTAGACAGATAATTACCTTGTTCCTTCGTTGTTTTCCGAACTTTGTTGCTTATGTATGGGTCGTGTGATGCGGTTATATTGCTCTAATCACTTGCTAATGAGAAATCAACAAAACACTGTTGTAACATCACTCACGAAAGCAACTGGTGGCATCCTATTTAGTCAATTCTATGTAGCGGCTGCTGTCGTTACCTATGACCATAATTATCACTGTTTTCTGTCTCTCCGGTTTTTTCTTCTTATCGCTTCTTATTCTTTTATTGTAAAAATTCAAGGGAATCACCACAAAATTACATGTCTCTCTGTGTTTTTTTTTTTTCAATTCCAACCGACACGAAAAAAACTTACTCATTCAACAGATTCAAATTCAAGTGAGCAGAAACAATCGGAATCTCTTCTCGAAGAAGGCGTAGCAATGTGAAATAAAAGCGAGACAAAAACACACACACTCACAAAGGAAGAGAGAGAAGCATGAAAGTGAGACGCGCGCGCGATACCAAGAAAGAATTGTCACGAATTCATTACAAATTCATGTTTTCCTCATAATTTGTGTATTTTTATTTCTGCTTTTCGATTCACTGTGTTATGGATGTTGTTTTCATACGAGTTTTGTTCTTTTTTTATTTTTATTTCACTTCGATTGATACACCAAAAAACCACACGATACTGTATCGTTTGCTTATTTCGCACAATGTGATTTTCTGCCTTTTTTATTTAAATAAATTATTTTTTTATTTGTTACACTCACATATTTTTCATTCAGTCGAGTGTCACTAAACTAACTCTGCGCTCATATCACCAGTTGGCCAGCAATCACAGTTTTATTTTAATTTTTTTTTATCTACACATTCATATCTGATTGCATTTGGAATGCACTGAGTTTCGTTGTTGTTTTTGTCGTCGTTGGCCTGGATCTTTTTTCGACTTTCGAATTTTTTTCGATTTCTGCAAATGGTAGCATGTAATCACTTTTCTGGCATCGGAAATACAGCTTAATACAAAACGTTTGTTCTCTATTTTCATTGCGTATCAATGAGAAAATCACTAGTCTTAGTACTATTTATTCACATGTACACTGTATATAGTTACCATATTTGTTCCTGTATCACATTCCATAGACGTACGATTTGACATACTAAATTTAACAATTTTTTTTGATTGAAACTGATTAAAATCGTTATATTTTTTTGTAAACTCAATCTTCACAATCTATAAACTATTAAAAAGAAATTTTGATGGCATTTTTTTAAAAATCGGGTTCAGTTTAAAATGAAAATCGAAAAATATAATTTAAACGATGATGGCAATAAAATGTTATAAGAAATGTACCAGCGCAGCAGCAGCAACAGTAAATTGAACGAAATACAAGAGCTGCTTGGTTCATGCGCGTTGTTTTGTACACACTAGACGGGAACGACTTGTTGTTTGCCGTCGTTGCAAGATCGAAATAAAGGCAAACGACTCAAGAGAGGTAAGAAAAAGAAGAAAAAAAGAAACGAACCAAAAGAGATTCTTGAAAAACCAACATACCAAAGAAGCATACAAACACAGCGACTTACACATATTAAAAGAGAGACTACAACGAAAGGTGTTTTGTGATAGAGTAGGATTCTATGCATGTGTGTGATTCGTTGAGAACCTGTATTTGTATGTACAGATTGGCGGCACATGTGTTAACGTATGTTCAACCAGATCACTCGTACTCGTACACAGGTGAACCAATTTCTTTTTGTATCGAACAATTGAGGTATTCTCGGATACAGAGATGAGGCCACTGGCGTCCGTTGTATAATATCATTTCAATGCTTTGGTCACCCTGTGCGCAAAAGGTTCCTTAATAAAAAAAATTGTTTCATTCTCTCATACATTTACACATACACACACACACATGCACATAATCATTGAACGCAATTCACTCCGTTCACATTGATGCAACAACAGCTAAATGCAACCAGTGATATTTAGCATTGCAAGCTGGAATTCATACGAGTGTGCTAACAAAATAAAAACAACAACAACAATAACAACGAACCAAAGAAAATACAAAGCTGATGGTTTCCAATCTACACAGACGGCATACTTAATCGTTGGAGAAAAAAATGAAATGCAATCATCGCACTGTGTGGTGCGGACACGCAGATTAAAAAGTAACCACAAAAAAGTCATCGCCTTCTCAAGTCCATGTCTTAGTCGTTGTCTCTCATTTTCTGTGCGTCATGCGTTTATCCAACGCAATGCAATTCATTCAATTCGGCCAGAAACCGCATTGATCGTTGTATAAACATCGTTGATCATCCATAATCAGTTTTGTGGCATAAATTAACATACCTTCACTTCATTCTTGGTAAGAAATTTTAATTCGAGAGGTGTGAGATAGTATGTCATATACAATTCGCATTCGTTTTCTTTTAAATCGAGCTAATCACAAATAAAATTATGTTTCTCGTGCACGTATGTCGTAATTTCGTCGACTACAACGATGCGTGTAAATCCAAGTTCTACCAAGCTGGTATGGTATCAAAGTGGCGATTGACCGTATAGAGGTTGTACATGTTATGATTTTGTACCTGTCTGATTGCGGCAAATTAAAATGCATCCGACATCATTCCAATCAAAATGCAGCTTTGCATTTTAATTTACTGTAGCTGCTGATGATGGTACAAACGATCGACACTGAACTTGAAGATTGAAGATATTTTTTGTACTGCAAATTATAAATGTGGCTCAATGTACAGTGTATAAAATACACACGTTATATTACTTGAATCCTGTTTATCCAAAAGAGACAGAAAAAATATCTACAAAAAACTTGTTGTAAATGATAAGTTGAAGAATTCCAATGGACAAAATGTGGTTATTTTATTTGTGCATTTTATTTATTAAAAAATGGCATATAGTTTTATATAATGTTTGATAAATATTTACACATTCTTCTGGTGAAGAATAAATTTTCGAAATACATCATCAATTCGTTTTGCCCTCAATTGGAGCGGGTGTAAAAACGATCATTAAGGTTCTTTTAAGAATAATCGACAGAAAACATGCAAATGCGGAAAATGTCATATAATCAATAACAGTAAAAATTTCCAATTAAAGTTCCCAAACACTTACTTCAAGCGGTTGAAATATGGCAAAAATGATTGATTCTTGATTTGGACTCAATTGCATATAATTTAACTTTTGAGCACAAAGGTTTTGAAAAATGGACCCACCCCAATCACGATTATGCACTAACAAAAGTTTGTCGTAAATGGAATTTGATAAAAAAATCAAAGTAAGGAATTAAGAATGAAAGTCGTTCCATAAATAGTTCGAATGAAGTGGGTTTCTGATCAATTCAAATTGTTATGCACAGATATGTAATTTTTATCTCCGTTATTTTTATCCGAATAGTCATGACTGCAGTACTTCCATTTTTTCTTGAATTGTATTATTCTATTTTTATTTATAAAAATTCCGTGCAGAATACAGATACAAAATGGACATCCAATAGAGACACTTCAGTTTATTTGCGATTGAAATTATACTTACATCAATGCGGATCACATGTTTCCAATGGACGTTGAAATTGTATTTGCGAGGGTACAATTTTTTGTGCCTTTGTCAGCGTAACGTGATTCACGTTACATGATATATTTTTGGATTCAATTTTGCGGCGATTGATACAATATGAAATTTTATTTTATAAACATAGTTTTTCTATTTATTTTTCATGCAATAAAAATCTTCCATATTTATATTGCCCTTCGACAGGAACCATTACTATATCTAAGGCATCTTCTGGTGTTGTATTTTCTTGGTTATTCTTGATTATTTATGTGTAGTCATAATCCTTTTTAAAACAACTTGAATATAGTTATCGTGCTTAGCTTGTTTTTTTAATCATATAGCATAATTTTGATTCGATAGCACAAGTCTTTCACGTCATGAATGCAAAATGATTATTACATTCAAAGTTTAGTAAAAAATTGTAAAGGTTTCTTTCAATTCAAAAAAAGGTTAAAAGTTACTAATTCGAATTTTGAAATGGAACGAAGAGAAACCGTTTATGTAATTTCTGGCAATTAGTACAATCAAAAATCCATGATTCAGCTATTAAAACTGAAGCATGTGCATTGGAGCGAAAAACAAAATCTCGTCGTCCCTATGCATGACAGGCATGGCAAATTTTATGTAATTTTACGTGTATCAATCAATCAATTCTCGGCATTTCAGTGATACATGGTGAGAATATTCCAGTGTCATGTTTATGTATTGGATATGTTCGATCTAATCATCAAAGTAAAGAGATAGTGTTGATTTTACTATTAGTTTTTTGATTTTCATAAAACCACAACCAAAATCAAAATCAGGAATGGAAAACGCTCACTAGCGAATTTTACTAAAAAAATCAATTTATGTTTTCAAAAAAGAAATGATCATGATTTTCTAATTATTATATCAATATAATATATCGAGGTGCTCGGGGGAAAACACAGTTTTAAGTATTACCTATTTCTCCTAAATCGCGTTTAATATTCTCTTACATTCCCTAATACCTTCTTGAGAAAAAATATGTAGTGAAGCATGCCATAGGTATAGCTCCAACACAAAATGCACATGTTTGGTGATTTTTCAGATTTTTGTTTGAAAAGTGTATCTAAAATGCTTTGTATCGCAAAACTAACATCATATTCGGTTTTCTAGTGCCAATAAACTCCCACTAAATATTTTTTTTAGCGGAAAAGACATTTTTTCTGATCTCTATAGCGAAAACTTTTTTTAGGCCATTGGTTTCTAATAAGTTCTAATATTTTCTAGTATTTTCTAGTAAATCTCAATTTTTAATTCGTAGTCTCTACCCTAGTTTGAATGACAAAAACTATTCCGAGAGTAAATGACGAAATCTTCCTATGCATAAAAAACCCATGCAGCCGACAATCTATCGTATACACAATTCAATCATTGAAACTTTACATTTCAAATGAGTTTTATCATTTAAATTTGATTTCAATCGAACATACATTCACAAAATCGTACCACAACATTTGAATGTGAGTGTGATTTCACGAGAATAATTGATTTGAATCAAAATAATAAATGAACCTTATCGGTCGTACGTTAACATAAAAGTAAACACACTGACATCGAATCAATTTCCTGGAATTTCATGACTCTGAAAATAAGCGCAACTGAAACGATATGTGTGCATTTTAAATTTATTTTTGCTTTTAATATTGTTTTTTTTTATTGGCAATTCACGTGACATACACAGAAGCACACGTACAGCCCTTAGATTTGAAAATAGAACGACAGTGAAAAAAACGTGTGTTTTCTCAATGGCAGAAACATTGGTATAGGGACAGCCGCAGCAATCAATTAAAAACCAATCGATAGAGTCAAATTGAGTGCGCAAAAGAATAAAGAGGAATCAGGCTAAATGGGTACTGTGTAGTATGGAAAAAGAATCGATAGCAGCGAAAAAGAAAAGGACACAATTCTATTGTATATAAAAACAACAAACCGTAGACCGTGCAACGTCATTGCATTGCAGTAATTGAACGAAGCACCAAACACATCACAATAGAATCACCGATGAATCTCTGTCTGTCTCTCCAACCAACACTATGCAAACAGATTGATTTGATTTTTATCGTATTCCATTATGTTTGCGCTTTCATTTCATTTTCGATTTTTTCCTCCCATCGAAAAAAAAATTGATTTGATCACACAAAAAAATAAATAGAGATGAAATTGTGTTATTTTTGCCCATTTAAAATCGAATATCCATTGCTATAACATTTTGTCTGTAACAATGTCACATTCATTCATTTTTCTTGCATTGGTTGCGCGAGGTTATTCAATCTTTTTTATAAAAAATATATAAGCTTTTTTATAAACTCAACAGCGCAAATATTTAATGAAAAATAACAATAAAACAGCCAACAATCAATCCCAAATAGGACGAAATTCGAATGAGAAATGTAAATATCGTCAATGTGTGAGTACGTGATAATTGAATATTTAAAAGCTGAATGTACTTGTACACAAACACACAGGCGTCCCAATAATGCGCAAACATTTCACATGCCCAGGAATATAACTAATATCCGCTAACTGATCAATATTAAACGCGTGAGAGTTGTTTTGTTATTCATATAATTTCCTGTGAATCAAAAACAAATTTTCTCTCATATAAAATTGAACACTTGGCTAATTAAGTAAATCTGATTATATCCAATTATGTACAATTTTTAAATTATCTATGAAT